CAATTTTATGAAGGGGATTTTGTCCACTTCAAAATTTCACACATGAAGGGGATAATGTCCACCCATGGAGGGGATTATGTCCAGATATACAAAAATACATGAAGGGGATTTTGTCCGAAGGGGATTATGTCCGTACACCACGGTTTACAGATCACATGCTCCTCCATGTACCGAAAACAGTTCACATGCTCCTCCATGCCTCAAAAGTTAAACGCGTACCAATACCCTGCGGTCTCCAGACCGCAGGGAATAACTAAACATGTAAAGAGTTATCTGATCTTGATATCATAACATCTCCTTTTGTTTGAAATCTGAGAAGCTCTGCTCATAAACATGTGTCCGCTATAAATTTCAATTTATTCTGAAAAATCATGAAGCACTTAACATAATTGTCATGTCATCAAATAATGAATTTGAGATAAACACATTTAATTTTTATGATAAGTATGTCCTAGATAATGTTTTCATACTGTCACATAATCTTTGTAATTTTTCTGTTTATAGCTACTGCAATTTATGCCTATTTGTTCAATGTTTATATTTTTACACAGACTGAATTATCTTTAATTGAAGAAGCTCACATAACTTTCGGTCTAAAATTATGCACAATTTTATTACAGTATTGGAAGAATAGAAAAGAAATTATCATACAAGAAATGGAAACTGTCAACAAAGATTTAAATAAAATCACTTCACAAGACCAAATTAATCTCATTACCATTATTATAGCAAAGATTACACTCAATGTGGAAAAAGACCTTAATAACAAGAAAAAAATCCCAGAACAATAATTTTATCAACATAACTCTTGGAAAAATAACATAGATAGTAAAATATTTATATAAATGAAAACCATGCAGAAAATTGGAAATAACTTGGCCACATTTTCAAGAGGATTTTGATTCTTCCACCATTGCCTTAAAGAGTTCCCATTATAGAATTTTATCTTGGATATAACTTTTTGCAATAATTGAACACTTCTGAAAAGACAAACAGCTATTTAATAAGATTATAGATATTTTGAACTAAGTTAACCAAAACCCTTCAAAACTTACTTATATTTTAGCATCAAAAGAACCAGCAGCTAAAATACCGTATCAGATTTTTTAAGATAAACATTGGTTACAAAATATATAAAGGAAACAACTACAGAAGGAAATCTCAACAAACGTCTAGATATTTACTCATAAAAATGAAGGATTTTAGTTAATACTGAAACCAACTTATTTCTCCTTAGTAACTATAATCAACCTAAGACTTCAAAGTTAGAACTACATTTATGCAAAACAATCATATTAGGTTAATATGAACACTTAAACCATTTCATAAAAATGGTCATTGACATAGATCTGTGGTTAAACATTTGCAACATTTTATAAGGAAAAATAACTTGGCACTTTAACCAGAAAAACTCATTCATATGTCTATTTATAGTAACATACCTCACATTATGTAACCTCTTTTTTAGTACTTCAGTAATCACTTTTCTTTGAAATATATCCTGAAGACAGAAACTGGTATATCCTAGAATAAACCAGTTACAAACCATCCTGATGTTTGATGTGTGTTCTCTCCTTCTCTTGATTTACGAGTTTAACCTTCCTCCCAGAAAGAGTTACATAAGGTTCAGGATAAATGTTTGAGAGCATTGTTGATACAGGCAACTTTGAGTGATTTATAAAGGTCAAATTATCACTCTTGACACTGGCATTCTATGTGAAAGTTTATCATGGGAATCTGCTATGTCTTGATTAATACAAGTGGCCTTTGTAATTTGACCATTATCAGTGTTTAATGGTGGGTCATTATCGTGACAGATGTTGCCTGTTTCTGATATATTGAACACCATCAGGTGTTTCTACAGAATGACAGCAGGATTCCAAGATTTTCCCTGCTGAATTCTAACATTTTCTCCTATGTTAAATGGTTTAAGGGGCCTTGAATGGTTATCATAATTTTTCTTTTGAATGCATTTTTGTTTTTCAAGAAGTGACCTTATTTTCTTAAAATCTGTTGATTTGGGTGTTAAGAACTTAAATTCTTTTCAGACATAGCCTTAGGTATAAATGTCCTTATTTTTCTTCCCATTAAGATTTCAGTGGAAGAATAACCTATGCCAAGCTGTGTAGCACGTAATTCTAAAATTGCTATCAAAGGGTCGGTCCCATCTTGCTTGCATCAAAAAATTTAAAAAAAAAAAAAAATAAAATAGAAAAACAATTTTGATTTTTCTTATATCAGAGCTCCAGATAATTTTTTTGGCCAAGGGGTTTTTACCCCTCAAAATTTAGAGTGAGGGGTAAAATGCAAATAATGAAAAACTTAAGGGGTAAAATCTGTTGAAAAAGCATTTTGCATTTTTTATAAACAAATTAAACTTTTGTTTGTTTGTTTATTTTCTTTTTTTAGAAAAACTTTTACAAATTAAATACTGATTTAATGTGAAACAATACAAAACATGCCACGTAAAGTCAGACTTCCAGAGTATAATGGAACTAAAGTTTAGGATACACAGCAAAATTATCAGGGCTTCCATTTTCAAAATTTGGAAGTCAAACACTTCAAAATCTCTGATATTGGAAGTCACATTTTATAGATAAAGAAGGAAAAGTATTGATTTTCGGAAGTCACACGCCAAATGAAGGAGTAAATGACTCCCAAACTTCCACTAGTGGAAGCCCTGAAATTATTTTATTTTCTAGGAGTCAATATTTTTCTTTCTTTATTTTTGTTGGCATGTACCTTATCATGTACTTCAGTTTGAACAGTTATAGTTGAAATTAGAATTAAAGAAACATAAACAAGATTTTTTTATCTTTCCTTAAAAAAAGTATTGGTCTGAGAGAAAATTGTCCGTAACTGTAGACTGGGTACGAAAATATTGAGTACAAAACTGCAAGTGAAAAACATGTTATTTTGTTCCAACAACAAAAGTTAAAGAAATTAAAATATATTTTTGTTTATATTGAGACATAAGCATGTCGACAGATGCCTAAACAAATTTAATATTGTGTTAACTCCTACGATGATTATCTGGCACAAATTTCATCAATAATTTCACAGGTTGATCTACGGAAGTTACCTCCCTTCTGTATTTCCTGCTACTTTCGTTTTTAACATGCGTTGTTGACAACAGAATTTTTAGTTTTCAATGCAATAAAATGGAAATATATTGTATTTTTATGCTCAAAACATTTTCTTTCTACATATCAAATGTTTACACTTCTATTCTTTCACGCATAAATTCTGACATACGAGCGTATTTTCATTTTGTTGTGCGTAACTGTGACGCATGAATTTTGAAAGTGATGCCTATTTTAGATTTTCTATGCGTATTTTACGCTTATACGCACGCTATCTGGAGCTCTGCTTATATTGTCTATAACAATATAACAAAAATTTAAAAATAACAAAAATTTAAAAAAATACAAACTATTTTAAGTTTTTTAATATATTGATACTTAGCAGGGATTTTTTTTTTTTGGCTTATTTTATAGCCTTTATTGGGTCATGTTCCCAATTGAAAATAGTATATTATTTTCCCATTCCACAGGAAAAAATTCCCAATTGAAAGTTACAAAATATTGAATAAATATTCTAAAATCTTTGCAAATAAGGGCTTCTTCACTGTAATAGTGCTTAAATCTTGGAGATGCCATCATAGACAGTAATTGTTTGCATCCTTTAAATCACAGCAAAATTTTAGTCATCAATTTTTCCCCAATTTTTAACAAAACACTGCTGAAATTCCCAATTCCATTGGTTTGGGTCGTGTTTCCAAAATCCTGGAAAAAATCCCTGATCTATTACATGAAAACAAAGATTAAACATATGATATTTTAGCTGTTTAGGTCAAATCAATGCAACTAAGTATTCAGATTTGGCTGGCCAACCAAAGAAATCTTGACAATTTTTGTGTGCATGGCTGTTTAACCAGAGACATAGATGTTATCTATGTCTCTGGTTTAACATAAATAATTTTAAATTGGATGGGCAACACCTAGTTCTGGCTTCCATAACTTTATATGTCGCTTTTATTTTGACGTTGCGACAGTAAAGTTATGGGTCAATCCTATTTGCAAAGGCTACCAGAATTTGACAGTTTGTGCGCCGGACATAAAAGCCTACTAAAATCACCCTTTTTAATCAAATTTGGGTCAAATAAAAATATCATTTGATAAACAAATCAATTTTGAACCAATTCATGTTTTGTTTTTAAATGTAACTTCAATGACATTGTGTACCCAACTATTTTTAGAGAAATATGTAGAGGATGTTTACCAATTGGAGTCTGCTTTCAAATGAGAGATCTCGCGGGACTTCATGTTTTGGAAATTCTAACATCTATTTTTAGTAACGGACCATACACTATTTTTAGTAAGTGTATGATTTTATATAAAACAACACAAATAATTCATGAATCATCACTCAAACAATATAAATCAACATGTTTTTGGTACAATGTCTGTTATTGAATAAATAAACCGTAATTTCATAATTGCAAAGCCATGTTTTCAATTAAAAATAGCATTTGGGTCACGTGTCACCAAATGTCATGCAAAAGGTATCCGAACCTAAATTCTCGCTGATCACGTGATAATAGGGCAGCAATGGCGGCGAGTTTTATGAAATGTGAACCCGCTGATAAACTTTGAGGCAATATTTCATTAATCTAACATTTGTGTTCAAAAATATAGACTGAAGGGTCCCAAATATATCTAACTACCTGTATTAAAATAGTTTTTGTCCAGATCACGCAAATTTATTGAATTACAGCATGACATAAAAATGTCACGGGTCTGGTTGACTTTCGATACGGGGTTGGCTTCAGCGAACAGGTCTAGCAAAACTATAAAACATGTTCGCTGAAGTATCTTTAGCTAGGCAACACCAAGTATGGCAGGCAAAAACTTCAGAAATATTTTAGAACCCCTGACAGGATGAATTAACTTTATTTCCTAAATCCAAATGCAACTTAAAATGTTTAAAATTATTCTTACCTGTAAACTCGTCATCTTCAAGAAGCTCTGGCGGTAAACTGAACGGTATGGGTACAGGAGGAATGGGAGGAGGTGGTGGTATATTATCCGACATAACCGCTTTGTTCAAACAACTTTGTGCAAGTTGTCAACCCTTTACAACACTCGCTGATAATCGTATTATGAAAAAGAAAAAAAAAAGATAATCGTATGATAATCGTTATTATAATTTAAAAAAGGTACAGTTACAACTACTGTGCAGCATAAGTTGTCCAGTTATTCCATGCAGCATGTCTAACTAAATTAATGGCGAATAAATTAAGCCAAACAAAGGGGAGTAACTTTGACAATCTATTTCAACTATCAGGCACTTAGATCGAACTAGTTTTGAACAGAAACATTTAATACCATGCATTATCAAAAAACTGTAGTTTAAAAGCACGTTGTATACTTAAAAACCAGTATCTGGCAACTATACAAAAGCCTTGGCTGCTTGCCTCACAATTTAGTGTTACTTAAAATGAAATTTTATGGTATGTCTGAAATGTCGCAAAATCTTATTCAAAGTTATCTATCTAATAGGCAGCAATGTGTAAAAATAGGAAATATATGTAGTGATTATCAAAATATAATTAAAGGCGTCCCACAAGGCTCAATACTTGGACAGATTTTGTTTTTATAAATGACATATTCCTCTTCATAAATAAAAGTCAATTGTATAATTATGCAGATGATAATTCTCTTCTTACTCAAACACTTGTAAAACAGACTTAGTAAGCACACTAGAAAAAGATAGTTTAACTTTGATTTTTTTTTTTGTTTTTTTTTGTTTTGGGTTTTACGTCACATCGACACAGTATAGGTCATATCGCGACGTTCCAGCTTTACTGGTGAAGGAATTAACTTTGATAGACTGGTTCTCAAAAAAATCAAATGAAGGCCAACACTGAGAAGTTTCAGGCAATAGCTCTTGGGAAGAAAACCCATCAGCAGAAAATTAATTTTAAATTAAAAAATATAGAAATATTATCATGTGATGATGAAGTAAAGCTGCTTGGTGTAAATTTAGATTTTATGTTAAATTTTAATTCACATGTGTCAAATATTTGTAGAAAAGCCTCTTAACAATTGAATACTGAAGAGAATTGGTAAACATCCTTATAGTTTAAGCAGACTCACAATATACTACTCTTTTGTTATGCCAAATTTTAATAATTGTCCTCTTACTTGGCATTTTACAAATGAATCAAACACTGGGAAAAAAGAAAAAATTCAGGAAAGAGCTTTAAGATTTATTTACGATGATTTTAACAGTAACTGTGATCAACTACTTGAGAAGTCTAGACTTATTTCGTTGAAAGTTAGGAGGTTAAGAGCAATTGCTTTAGAAACATTCTAAATAATATGTCTCCTATTTATTTAAATGATTTACTACATCTTAAACATTCCAACTGTAATTTTAGACACACTAATACTGTTGAGGTACCTTTACCAAGAACAGACAGATATGGTAAGAAATCTTTCCAGTATGCCACTGCCAAACTTTGGAATCAACTTCCAGATAATTTTAGACATCCTTCATCTTTTAACCATTTTAGATCATTGATAAATACTTGGCAAGGGGAGAATTGCTCCTGTATATCATGTAACATCACATAATACAGAGTGTAGGACAAAAGCCCTCCCGGACAAAAGCCCTCCCGTCAAGTCCGCCCTGTCATTTTCACGGGAGGGCTTTTGTCAGCCCTGTCATTTTCATGGGAGGGCTTTTGTCCGCCTTGTCATTTTTTGACGGCAGGGCTTTTGTCCGGGAGGGCTTTTGTCCGTTTCCCCATAATACATCATCAAAAACCAAAATTTTGGCAGCGACATGCTGGATGTTTCAAGTTTTTAGTTACTTTTGCTATGTATTTGTCTCACCACTGTGCTTGTTTTAATTACCTTGTACTACCAGGCTAACACTCGATATGATTATTGTAGCCATTATTACTCTTCTAGTTTTATTTCCCTACTTTATGTGCTTTTATTGTGCTAGATTTGTTTCTATTATGTATCATCTTTTATATACATGTATAATTTAACGGTTTGTGTGTATGTTAATGTCAGAGTTGTTGTTCATTATGCATATCTTAACCACCTTTTTTCATTCTATTGTTTAGTCTTAACCATGCTTTATTTATTTATATATAATTTGCTAATTTTTAAACTTTAGTTTGTCTATGCATTTTACTGTGTATATGTATGCTTGATGTTTTTCTGCTTAAATGTTTGTGTGTTTATATAGGCTGTGATGTGTATGTAAACTTTAGTGTGTATCTTAATTATCAGATCTTAATGTGTATTACTTCTTGTATGATACTGATGAATGTAAGTGTAATGCTGGTTGTCTTCTCTATTTGTTAGTGCAATGCTATTTGTCTTATTTATTATAACCATGTTCTTCATACATCATATCTTAAGCATGTGTATTATATATGACAGTAGTCGGTGTAAAAAGCTCATCAGAGCTTATGTGTATTGTTATGTGTATCTGACTTAAAAATAAGATTTACTTGACTTAATATAGATCTATTTCCGATCCTGCAATCAAGCATGATATTGAGTAGATCTATACAGTTACCGTATTTCATGGGTGTTGCACGAGATACCAGGGATGACATTTGGAACTGTTGCCAGAGGCCAAGGCAAATATGTAATGATATGCACGAAGTACTTATCTATACTCAGATTATATAGCAAGACGTCATACATGAATTTATTTGAATCAGTTTGGTCTACTTGAAGGTCTTGTCCAAAGAAGAATGATGATCATTGATAATGAACAGAATTATAGACAATAGTTATAGCAAAATTGATGCAAAATTCAAATATTGGACCTTGAAAGCCAATGCCATTTAGGACCAAGGTCAAGTTCAGTATAGTCGACTTAAAAGTCTTGTCAAAAGGATTGTTTTTTGGGATTTTTTTGTCTTTTTTTCTTTGAAGTTTCTGGACAGCAATGGATGACATGGCTGTAGCAATAGCTCCAATTTTTTCTTCGAAATGAGTGCTATCTATCCATATTTCAAGTTTCATAAAAAAGTTTTCAGTAATTATTGAGTTATCATCATATATTGCTATATGTTACGTCTATTTGTTGTCATAGCAACCATAGGAAGAAAAAGAAGACATGTATGAATTCCATACTGACATCTATACATCTATCTATTTTTCAAGTTTCAAAAAATGTTTTCAATACCTTTTTTGTTATCATGGGATCCAGTATTTCGGACTGACTGACAGACACCGAAACACTCCCATCCCCGCCCCTCCCCCCGTTGAGCCGGTATGGGACTTAACATTATTGTTCATTGAAAGTCAATGACATTTAGGGTCAAGGTTAAGTTCAGTCTAGTATACTTAAAGATATTGTCAAAATGCTTATTTTGTTTCCATGAATGAAGGGAATCCATCCAGAAATTTAAAAAAAATGCCGATTAAAAGTTTCTGGACGGCAATGGCACTGGCAATAGACGACATGACCTTAGCAGGGGCTCGAAATTTTTCTTTGAAAATGACTGCTATCTATCCATATTTCAAGTTTCATAAAAATGCTTTCAGTGATTTTTGGGTTATCATAATATGTTGCTATATTTGAAGTCTTTTTGTCCTTATAGCAACTAAATGTTTCAATATAAGAAGTAAAATTAGACATGCAAACATTTCCTTACTGCAATCTATCCATTTGCCAAGTTTCATAAAAAAGTTTTCAGTCCCTTTTTTGTTATAAGCCTTCATTATGTGAGCATGCAAATATTGTTTATTTTCTGATACCTGCTCTGAATTTGGATCAGCTGTTCCCTAAAAGTTAAAACTATCTGAAACCATGAAAATATTTTGAGTATGAAACTGTCGGTGGCAATATAATTAAAGAATTTATTATTTTATCATGAAGAAGTGTAATATTTTGACTACATGCCATGCTCAATTCAGGTCTGGTTTGTGATTGCTTTCATTGAATGTGGCCTTTACTTGTTGATCTTGTTACCATATTTTGTGATGACAAAGTACAAATGACATAACTAAATAAAAATATGCCAATTCTGCAAACTCAAATTTTTTTAAAAAGATCTCACAGAAGGATAGTATAAATGATATTATTGACAGACTTTTGATTTTGAGGTAAGCAGGTCATTACTGTAAAAAAGAAAGTCGGTGACAACAGAAAAGGTTGCTTTAAGTAAGAAGCAGGAAGAGGCATTTAGTCCTAAGAAGAAAAAAAAGAATGTGTGCAAAGCAAGTTTATTGTAATTCACAATCTAAATCTGACGGTAGAAAATCCGTTAGTCACTTCTTGAAGAAGACAAAAAAGGAAGCAGGGTAAACATCTAACTCTGACAGCAAGACACAAAAAGTGATAACAGAGACTGTAAAAAATATTGCTGAAAGTGCTTTGCTCATGCAGTTTTCAGTAGTCTAGACAATACAGCCGATAGTAATGAAGAAATGGGGTCATTAAATACAAAAAGTGAGAGGGAACAAAAAACCAGACAAAAGTTAGATTTTTCAGAGTGAGAGACTAGCCAGGGTTAATCTGACACATCATTGACAAAGACATTGGCTTTGTGCACTGGAAAAAATCATCAAAGTACAACAAGCTTTTACAACTCCTTCCGCCCTCATCATCTCCAGCATGAGGGACTGTTGTCCTCTTGGGAAAACTTTCAAAATCTACTTCTGAAAAATACCATTTTATTTCTCCCCAAAATTAAAGGGATATTCAGCCTCTTCTATACCCTGTGAAAAAAATCCCTGATATCAGTTTATTGTTGCAATGTTGTTGATTATTTAAAGCAGTATTCCAACATATCCGTATTAATTGATTTTTGTTGTGTGTTTTTTCTAGTGTGTGTTTGTTTCATTATTATTATGTTTAGTCATATTTCTGTTTAAGAATGCTGTGATTTGGCAATAATTAAGTGGACAGAAAGTGAAAGTAAAAGATGAATATATACAGAATATTAAGTTGTAGTAGCTTTTTTGCTACAAGCAGCGTTGTAAAATTGATATCTCGCGATACCAAAGCATCTTCCACAAGTAAAGCAGGAAAATCGCCTTAAATCCTATACTGTGTTGGTATGACATAAAGCCCAGTTCGGATCCCGCTAGGGACCATGGATTCATTTAGATGAGGAAACTGGTTCCACTCAGATGCCCGGTCGTGCCATAAATAATACACAGAGGGGTACCCAAGGTCTTCCTCCAACAGCAAGGCTTGAAAGTCTCACATGAACTGTAGTGTTAGTGCAATGTAACCCCGCCCCCCAACATACACAAACACAAAATTCTGGGGTCTGATTGTACATATTAAGTTTTACAAGTTAATATCCTTAAAAGTTATCCACCTATATTTAATGTTTTGTCTAAAAAAATTCCTTACATGTTTAATACAGGCAAATTTGATATTGAAATCATGCGCTCATGCATATTTTTCAGAAATAAAAGGCCATAATTCTCAGTCAATTTTAATATATCAGATTTTAGATATGCATTCGAAAGGAAGGATTGAAGCATTTTTATATCTCTAGTCAGACATTGTCAGCATGAGGGGAAAGGGAAATAACTTAATGTACCATTTTCATGTAATGTTTATTTGTTAAAAATATACCAAATATCGTAGCTGTTTTTTGCATCGTAGTTTCACAAAAGAATACAACCATGTACTTTCAAATACCTGTCTAAATAAACTGAGCAACCATAAGGTTGTGCTTCATGCAGGTACATGTATTTAAACACCAGGCATTGTAGTTTTTGAGGAGAAGTTTTTTTAAATATTTCTATGATACAAGTTTATATAAATAAATTTAAATTGAGTACCTCCCCCCCCCATGCGGGACCTAATTTCACCCCCATCCCAGGGGAAAGATTCATATATTACTTTTGTAGAGGTCAATTTGGCAATGATACATGCCTGATATCTGGGCATTGCTTATTCTTAACTGAAACTTAAATGTATTTTCCTATATAAGCCATATAAACTAAGTGACCACTACGCTGTGCCATTTTATCCCCCAGGGGCATGATTTATACAGCTTTGGCAGAGGAAAAGTGAAGTACAAGCCAAATATCTAAGCTCTGGGCATTGTAATTTCTGAGAAAAAGATTTGTTAAGTTTCATTTTTAAAGTATACTTTTAGCTCCTTTGACCTACTTATGCATCATACTAGAACGATTTTTATAACTTTTGAAGAGAACAACCTATTAATCATTCCTGTGAAGTTTTTTGGTCAAAATCATAAAGTGGTTGAGGAGATGTTGTTCATGCTTTTCTCTTTGTATTTGATACTATTGCCATTGTATATATGTCATATTGGTGATAACACTGTCCAATAAAATATTGAATTGAAATATACTGAAATTGTGGACAATGTCAAATGATGGACAACAAACAACAAAATGCCAGACACACTGCCATCACAAAATCTCACCTCAGAGCACTTTGTGCTCATTTGAGCTAAACATTGTTTATGGAAATATTAAATAATAAAACTACAAGTTTAGGTGTGTGTGTTTTTTTGTGTTTTTGTTTGTTTTCAAAATCTCTTCCATCATATAAATTAAAGGCCCATTAAGCCTAGAAAATGGTAACATTTTCATTTTTTATCAGCTTTTTACTTTTGATGTTGTACTACAATTTATACATGTTGCTCATTGGTCATAAGAATGTATGTATAGCTGAGGTGATGCATATTTTGCTTCCTTTGTGTTCTAGCAATTAGCTATAATATAGTGCAGTTAGTGTTTAAATATTTTGTATAAAAATGAAATAACTACTTTGTTTACATTCTGCTACCTTTATTAGAAATTCTTTCACATTTAAATCTATTACTTCAGGTGATAAGCATTTAAAATGTTCTTATCCATAATTGTTTTCAAACAGAATGAATATTTTTTTTATTAATTTCTGAGGCATATTGTGTCTTTAAATCATTGCAAACAAAAACATAACAAAACATAGTGTAAAGTAACAAATTAATCTATCCTTAACTTCAACAAGAGGGCCATGATGGCCCTGGGGTCGCTCACCTGTACTTAGGCCCCCAGGGCGGGCCAGTTTAAACCAAAGGGCTTTTATTTGAACAAACTTGGAAGACACCCATTAGAAGATGTTTCATGATGTTAAGTTTTTACTATACACAAATAATGAAAAACAATGACTTTTGCCCCCCCTCCCCCCTTATATATAGGGAAAATCAATGACCCCTGGGGCTGGGCCAATTTTGACCCCAGGGCTTTTATTTGAACAAACTTGGTAGACACTCATTAGAAGATGTTTCATGCTAAATTTTAGCTCTAGCTCTTTGGGTTCTTTAAAAGAAGATTTTTTTAAGTTTTTACTATATGCATATAGGGAAAATCAATGACCCCCTGGGAATGAGCCAATTTTGAACCCAGGGCTTTTATTTGAACAAACTTGGTAGACACCCATTAGAAGATGTTTCATGCTAAATATCTTAGCTCTAGCTCTTTGGGTTTTTTAGAAGAAGATTTTTTAAAGTTTTTACTATATGCATATAGGGAAAATCAATGACCCCCTGGGGCGGGGCCAATTTTGACCCCAGGGCTTTTATTTGAACAATCTTGATAGACACTCATTAGAAGATGTTTCATGCTTAATATCTTAGGTCTAGCTCTTTGGGTTCTTTAAAAGAAGATTTTTTTAAGTTTTTACTATATGCATATTGCTGGAATCACTTCCCTTTACAGAGGGGAATAATTCAAAGAAAATCTGTGTCAGAGTTATGGGTCTTGGTAAATGATTAACTCTTTAACACAAAAATAACATGATTGTGTTAAGTTTTACATGAACAACCCTGTATGGTTAGTTAAATAATAATTGCCAGAGTAACAAAAGCTTTACCTCATGCTGTAATGTTTCATTACATATACAATTGTTTATAAAAAATAACAGACATATTCACATATTGTTATGTTTCACAACACCTTCAGTGGTTTATCAAATAATAATGGACAGAGTCACAAAACCTTAACAACAAACATGTGACTGTTACAGTTACATGAAATTGGCTCAGGTTGAGCAGGATAGCCCAACTCTTCATCAAATAGTCAAAATAAGTTAGATAACATTATGTTTGACAGCCTGAAGAACACATACTCAATATATTAACTTTAACAAAAACAAATGCATTGTATAAGAAAATTTAACATCAAACCATCGAATAAAAACATAGAAAATAAATATAAGTGATATTGCACATACCAAAAGAAAAAAAAAACAATATTATCTAATTTTAATATGCTGTTATATTCTTCAAAAATTCAATACAAAGAACACAAATAGGAACATTTAAAAGGTTTAAAACCCATTTTGGAAGTAATGAGCCCAATTTGGACAATTTAGCATCATTAAATTGCTGAATAGGAAAAAAATATTTGCCAATGGTACTTCTGAAACTTCCTTTGAGAAATCTTTTGGTATGGTATTTTGTATTGTGTAACATCAGCTGAAGCATAACAAATACAATAAAATATGACGATAAAATGCAATAAAACAGCTGTTTGTTAGATACCAGAATGAATGTCAGCAAATTTGTTCGCTTTGATATTGGGAATTTCAGTTTGATTGGGAATTGCTTTTTAAGAAAAAAATAATTTAGGCTTAGCATATTTGCCATTGGGAAAGAGTCCGATAATCTGACATATGAGCATATTTGCCATTGGGAAAGAGTCCAATAATCTGACATATGGTGACACTAGGAAAAGGAGTAGCAATCATGCATTCTATATTGGATTCTGTCCATTTGTAGGTCAAAAAGCAAAGTTTTCTTATTTCATTCATTGCTCAGAAAGTTCAGTACCAAGGAGAGTTAACTGATATCAGTGGATATTTCATTGAGTGAGATTCAAAACAGTGTTATAGCACAACACTTAAGTACTGTATAAGTAAATTAATAATTAATTAGTAAAAAAGGATATTTATAACAATATAACAATAAACTTGGAGGGACAAATAAATTGGAAAAATTAAATAAAACTGAGATAAAAAAAATTTAAAAAGTGAAAGACAATATACCAAGAAATGCATCTGTACACAGGAATCATAAATTTTGTTGTTCTTGGGTTTTTAGTAGCACCAGCACTGTAAATCTCATATGGTGACCTTCCAGCTTAACTGGTCAAAAAAGACCTCAGGTACCCTTCTGTGCATTATTTTAATAACAAATAGGCACCTGAGTTTAACGATGTACATTTCATTAGCTTAAATGAATAGCTTCCTCACATAAAAGACTACAAAGTCACTGGTGGGATTCAAACCCACAGCTATGAAGGTCAAGTTGTTGGAAGTCAATGACCTTAACCACTTGGCCACTGATGCTTCCCATCAGTCATTTAGATTATAAATACATGTAACATTAAATCATGGATTTACACAGTCATAGACCTTAACAAAATACTGTCTTAAAATAACAGTAAAACATACTGTGATATCTTCGGATTAATATCAATGACTAAAATTCACAAAATATGTAAAAACATTTCAATATATACAGATTCTAATCCATTAAACACAACAAAGTAACAAAATGATACAATATCAATACATGTACAAACATTTTCATGTATATATGTTTGATGATACTAAAAAGAAGCATAATTATAATACTTGTAGTACATATTATTAATAATATAAGTAATGCAATAGAACAAAATACATGTACATTGTACACAGATTTCACTAAACTTTCTCTTTGTTCATAATTTAACAGATCGACAGTAATATTGCAAGCTACTGATTAAATCATTAAACAGTCATGATTAGCATTGTATCCACCTTAATATAGCCAGCGACTGAGTAAATCATTAACTGACCATGATAAGTCTTGGATCCAAAATAATATAGCCAGCTGAGAAAATCATTAACCAATCATGATAAGCATTCGATCCACAGTAATATAGCTAGCTACTGAGTTAATCATTAACCAATCATGGTTAGCATTGGGTCCACAATAATATAGCTAGCTTAACTGAGTAAATCATTGGCTCCAGATCCACACCATTAAATTAATGGATTGAAAGGAGGAAACCTTACAGTTACACTTGGACAACAACTATTACCAGTTAGAATTTAAAATGTCAACAATAATTATAAGCAGTAGGCAACTCAATAATTTGTCAAACCTATGAATAGCACCAAATCAATCGGAGAAAAGTAGGTAGAATTTAGTTATACAGCTGTTCACAAATGAATGAAACACAACAATTATTTAAAACAAAATTCATCAAATATCAACATCAATTTCATAAAGATGTTAACAATTGAGGATTTTATGAAAGCAACAGTTATAATCAATATAATTATTTTGGCAACTTAGTGACACATAAACTGTCAATAACTAGCACCAAATTAATAAACAGTAAATATAAAGAGAAGGCACATTGGTGATTTGTCAAGTACCCATCACGAGCACCTTGTACACAATTATTTTTATACTTCTTAACCTACATTTCATATTGACAGCAATTATCACAGTTAACACATTGATGAGCCATCAAATGTCCATATGATCCAACAAATGTCCATTACTAACATCAAACAGTTATTAAAAGATGTTGAAAAATGTTTCATCCATTAACTGTGAATAACTTACATTTGATTGACAGCAAATAAAACAATGGTACATTGTATATTGGTGATAATTCAGTAAAAGTCAATAACTAGCGCCAGGTTAACAACAAGTATAAAACAATAGGCACATTGGTGATCAACAAGATGTCCATGACTAAAAACCAAATCAACGGACATTAGTAACAGAATGACATCAACGTATGTTTCAGTCATTAACTGTCAATAACTTACATCAGATTTACAGTAATTAAAACAGTGGCACATCGGTGATTATTCAAATCAAATTTCCAAATATGCAATTCAAACAATAGATATTATAAGGAATAAAAAGTTTAAAAATCTATTAAATATCACTATATAAGCCTAAATTTTTGCCCTTTACAAGAATCCTGACCAAATTACCTTTCTAAATTTACTTTATATTTAAGAATGTAATTAATTAGTAGACAAGTAACTAGTTATATCTTTGATGTAACCCTTTTAACCCCTTCACATTTCCCTCATGAAAAAAAAAACCATCCAATTATTGAAAACCTTCATTTACAACTTGCATGAATAATTCGAAATCCTTGTCCAGTTTTAAATTATCCTTCAAACCTTTAGGTACAGGTAAACTGTCTATAGCTTTATCAATATTTCTTGTATGAGCTAAACTTTTACGTATCTGGTACCGACATTGCCGGAATAGACGTATTTGCTCACACAGTTGATGTTTGAACCATTTATCCCGCCAGTCTGGATATCGCGGGAAGGTTCCGGTAACCCAGATGTCCTGTGGGTCTAGCATGGCACCGGCAAGAATGAGGTATGCACGGATCTTAGCTTCTACTGTAAGTGAAGAGAAAAAGAGTTACTAGTTAGTGAACAATGAAATAACCCTTCAACTCCATCTTAGAAATCTAATACGATGGAACCTGTCTAATCCGAACTTGGCCGGACAATTAGAAAAGTTTCCAGATTAAAAGGGTGTTTGCATATTTGAACATGTGGTGGGCAGAATAGTTTATAGGACCAGACACTTTGTTCGGATAAGGAAGGATTCTGGATTAGAATGGTTCAGATTACCAAGGTTCCATTGTAACAAATACTTACTTTATTTCTAAGATAGATTTGATTAACTTCTATTTGTGAACCATCCATCATTAGTTTATGGGTTATCAAGACAAAAATCAGGTAGTTTGTCGATAACACAGAGATTTCAGTTTCATTTCCAGCATAGTAAATTAATCATTGTTAATTTAATTTGTAGATTTAGTGTTAAGATAAAGGAACATGGTGGTGGCATGCCTTAAGCTGTGGTTTTTCTTAAATGGACTTGCCTAGCTTACATTTTTAGAACTGTAGAGACTGGTCATGGTGGCAAAGGCTAGTCATTTTTAGGTTCAAACAGGTAGCAGTTTAACTATGCTTTACTTTCATAACATAAAATACATATAAAATAAGAGAAAAATGTTGCTTTGTAATTCAGGGGTTTGTCTGTTAACCAAACAATCATGGTTTCAAGTACTGCTGAGATCACATCAATACATGTATTTCCTATGACCTCAGTAATGGTTTGTTCCTGGAATATTGAAATTGAGAGTGGTTCAAATTTTGAACTGAAATGGTCACCCTAAATAAATACATGTATGTTCAAACTTAATGTTTATTAATGAGATAGAGTTTATAAAAAATTTACTTATAATAATGATTATCAATGTACATGATATATATATCTAAAACATTATTACCTCCAAATGTGTTACATGCCATTTCATCTGTAGGATATTCTTTAGGATCAGCACCAGCATTGATGAGCAGCTTCACACATGTAAAACATTCATGATCTTCCAGGAAAAACCTATGCTCTAAATCATAAATCAAATCTTTAAACTCTTCAGAAGGAATAGATCTGTTCCTTTCATATGAGTTGAAAGACGTTGCTAGGGCTACTTTCTCCGGGAGAAGCTCTTCATGTAAAGGGGCAATGTTGTTATAACAAGCAAGTTCAAGAAGTGATTTCCCATAAATATCATGAAAGTCTACCCTAGCACCATTGTCAATCAAAAATCTAGCCATTTGGTCATTGCTAAAGAAAATGCTGTGGAAAAGAGGTGACCATCCAAAGTTATCCTTCACATTCACATCGAAACCTTTGTTGATGAATATTTGAGCAATATTTTTATGATTAAATTCACAGGCCCTATGTAACACTGTTCTGCCACAGTCATCTGCTTTTTTCATGTTTGCTGACTGTTCAAGCAAGTACAGCACCATATCTCTGTGTCCATATCTTGCAGCAAAATGTAAAGGCGTAGCTCCACCTTTATCTAAGGCATTGATATTACAAACTGACCTTTTACAGCCTTCCAAAAAGAGTTTTGCGAGTTCAACCTGGCCAACTTTGGCCACAATATGTAATGGCCTCAGTCCAAACTGAGTGAAATCAGCTAAATTTGGGTCTGTACCTTTCGCTTTCAATAAGGTTTCTATAATGCTGTAGGAAACTTCATTTTGGTCTAATGCCTGTGTAAGAGGTGTTTTTACCAATACAATCATAGCATTTGTATTTACACCTTTGTCAATGAGTTCCTGTAGTTGTTCAGTATCACCTTTCTCTATTGCACCAACCATTCGAAACTGTAATTCTTTCTGAGTTTTCTTCTCTGAAAAGTAAATCAGATTTAATAGTATTACTAATGATTCAACTAAGAACAACAAGTTCATAAAATACTTGACTGCATTTCAAATTGTATTTCAAATTATAATCACATAGTTTTTTAACTATCAAATTAATTGAAGTGACATTATGCTTATTTTTTCATTGTCAAATTGAGCTTAATTGTCCATATATTTCAAAATATTGACTGATATAATGGTTATTGACCAATAGTTGATATTGAACAAAGTTGAGGACAAAATGTAAATCTGCCCCACTCTTTTTATAAATTAAACATTAAATGGAAATTTCGTTGGTATACCCTTGAATGGACAAAATGTCACTTAAAAAACTGCTATATTAAAAGTTGTTTATGTAAAAATTTCTTGGCTTTTTTTCAATACAATACCTGTAAAACCATTGTATTTTGGTAAATCTGGAAACACATACGGTGAAAGAGGCATTGGCAGTGGTGGTGGTTCAGGAATTTCACCTGACATGGCTTCCCACAGAAAACAGTTATTAGCAACTCTCATCCACTGGCCTAAATCGTATGTGCCATTTCTGCAAAAATAATCAATTCTTTTAGTAAACAAAACCATCAAGCTATCATTAACTGATACTTCCAAGGTTATCAGTGAGTCTAAACACAAATTAATTTGAAACAAACAGACTAACAAAACTTTTTAATCACAAAAATTAGTACTACATGCTTGATGCTTGAAACATTATATATTTGCGTACAGTAAAAACTCTGAAAACCGGACCCTCTGAAAACTGGATCATTTTAAAAGTCCCGTGTTTTCTCCTTATATGTTTTTTGAAAAAAAATCCTCTGAATACCGGAACCTCTGAATTTCGAAAACCAGACGATTTTCTATGGTTTCTAATGCTAAACATGCACAAAAAATCCTCTGAAAACCAGACAGCAATTTTAAGTGTCAACTTTCTGTGTATTTTAATGCAGATTATAACATTATCTCAACTGGTGACATGTTCAGTTAACAATTAATGATCACCTCCTTTTAATCTATGCAGGTGTGAATACACTCCTCAGTGTGTGGAAATTAAAGTTCTTTCATCTTAATTGTGTCTTTTACTGTATGATTCTTTTTTTAAATATGAAATGTCTAAAAGAATTGGAAAACTTTTGTTATATGATTCCTGTTTTGCTTAAAATTTTGACCATGAAGTTATCTTTGTTAGGATATTAATTATAATTATGCAAAACTAGTAATACTAAATTCCATTAATTAAATATTTCAAACGATATATTTCAGACAATGTGTTGTTTTAATTTCTGATTTTCAGAATTATATTCATGAATTTGCATAAGGCCATCCTTAAAAAAATGTTTGTTTGCAGTAACGCGACCTGCTCACAAAATTTGCCCCTACTTAAATTTTTTTTATCATGGTCTGGATAAAAAACTTTTTTTTTTTTTTTTTGGAATCAGAAAATTATGCCTTGTGCTTTGTTTTGTTCTTTTAAAGGTTAATAGAAGAAATAAAATGTAGGTCTTATTAAATTAGAATTCAGTTATCAATTTATTAATTGTTACCAGATTATCAAAGCACATATTGTCCAGCATTTTGAAATTCCATGTTTATTTGGAAGTACAGTTCAATAAAAAAAAAAAAAAAATCGACCTACCTACCCACCTTGAAAATTCTGGGTCGGGTTACTGCAAACAAACATTTTTTTAAGGATGGCCTAATGAAATTACTTAAGACATTGCAGAAAGAAATTAAAATATGACTTAGACAAAAGGTTTGAAAAGTCAATGCAAAATGATTGAACAAAATCACTGTTGAACAGTTCAAATACATCATAATTATCAATAAATGTATAAAACCTCTGAAAACTGGAATCCTCTGAAAACTAGACTTTTGGTTAAGTCCGGACAGGGTCCGGTTTTCAGAGTTTTTACTGTATATGTTAATGCAAACTGTGATATAATCAATAAGAATATCAAATGTTGTAATATGATTACTGTAAAATTAATCATGATAGAAAAATGGTAATGCACACTGCATCACCACCCTATCCAAAAAGCTAATATCTATGATCATGGTCTGCACAGTTAGCTATTCTGAGTGCAGGTTTCTAAATTTTATATAAAAATGATGCTCTTATTTCGTTCTACATGAAAACTTGTTATATAGGTTTTTATCTGTAATTGGATGTTGCAAGTAATTTTTTTTTGTAATACTGTGATGCTTTTTACCAATTCAATCTTTCAATCTTTATTTAGCAATCGGCATCAATATGCCTTTGGCCATTTACAAGTAAATAATTATAGAATATGGCCAAGACAAAATAACATATAAATGTACAATAATAATTCAAATGCATATGATTAATCAAACACATAACATATAAACATTATAATACAATGAAAATAAATTTACAATTAAGCACTGTTTGTCTGTAAAAATTCATTTAGCTCAATAGCCAATGTTCTTACTTTAAATGCCTCTTTAATATAAGTGAATAGTTTTATTATTATTATTCATTAATGCAACAAATTTATTAAGTGAAGGCCAAGATGTATAATATTTTGGAAGTAAATCTTTTCTGATATTATTATATTTTGGACAAATCAATAAAAAATGATATTCAGATTCAATCTGTTTCTGATTACAAAATAAACACAATCTTTCATTTCTCTCTATATTATTAAATCTACCAGTTTCAATTGCAAGATTATGCTAAGACAAACAAAATCTAGTTAACTGGATTCTAGAAATATCGTTGACAATATTATTAAGATAAGGTTCAAATTCTAACACATTTTTAAATTTTGCATAATATTCTAATTTGCGCGAGGTATTTAAACTTGAACTCAATTCTTGAATATATTCATTCTTTACCCTAATGAAAAACTTCTAGCATATGGGTGTATTCAATTAATATTATCGGTAATCAAGTATAATTATCATGATCAATTATGTTTAACCAATAGTCTGTTGATTTAATGGACCTCCAGATCCTTCTAATTGACGGTCTGTCTTGGAAATGTTTATAATTGATTGTAAACTCATGAATTGCATAATTTATACAATTTATATTAATTAAAACTGAATAAACATTAAATAGAATTACTAAAAATATTTTAATACCTTTATATTTTTCATCATTATTAATCTTTTTATTTTATTTTATGTTCTGTTGTGTTGTGTTGAATTGTGTTGTGATGTGATGTGATGTGATGTGATTATTTTATATATTCATTTAACTATTTATTTAATTTTTAATTATTTAATCAGTATATTATTGAACTTTAAGTAAAATGTTTTTAGATACTTGACATTGTAAGCATAATTTAATATACAAGCTAGTGATGTAGAATTAAGTAAACTATCATTTTAGTTTTTTAGCATGAGATGATCTGATTAATTTTCATAAAAAAAAATATTTAAAAAGGACTATTTTATGTATACATCATGCCTAATCAATTTTTATTGCAGCTGTTTTATCTTTGTTGATTTTATACTTAATATTATATACAGTCAGTTATAAAAGCTCTTAGAGCTTATGTTGTACTGTTGTAAACTTGCTGACTTGAAATAAAACTTATCTTATTTTATGGTACATACATTTAGCAGAGGCTTTCTATAGGAACAGTTTTCTGTCTTTTAGTCAATTAAATTTATCAACTAGCTGACATAAGTAAGCTGCTGTTAAGTCATGATACTGCTAAAGAATGTGCACAGTGCATTCTGGGGAAAATGTCACATTTTAGGGGAATATATACATATTTTGGGGAAACAGCCATGATAAGACTGAAGAAAAACAAATCACTGAATTCATATCTATTATTTTTAAACCAAAAGACCATCTATAAGATACTAATCGTTGGCATCCTTCAATCAACAGGGTAGTCAGACTATTCTCTGACTGTTCTCTCCCTATTTGCAAATAAGCAGACAGTTCCTCTCCATTCTTTTTTTTTATTAATACATTATTGTTAAAGTATTTAGATGATAAATAAATGGGTTAGTTTATTATTAATTGATATAAATTAGATTTTTTTGTTGGAGTGTTTAGATGTTATATAAATGGGTGATTTTATTTTTAATTGATATAAATTTGAGAGAAAAAAATACTTTATTGAAGTATTTCAGGGCTTTTTTTCACAGTTTGGGGAAGCAGCCCAGCCCTTAATTTTGGGGGAAAATTACTCGGTATATTTGCAAAAGGGGAAGAAAAAACTTGATGTAAATTCAATTTTTGGGGAAAACTGCATGATTTTAAAGAAATTTTCTTTGGGGAAGCAGCCCTATACCAGCCCCTGTTATAGAAGGTAAAAAGGCCCTGTATTTAAATGTTTAATTCAAGTTTCAATTGTGTTAGCATCATCAGCAACAATAATAAATGGGTAAGTTTATTATTAATTAATATAAATTAGAGAAAGAAATATTTTTTTGAAGTATTTAGATGTTTAAATTATAAATTGGTAAGTTTATTATAAATCAATATAAATTAGAATTTTTTTTAGCAAATTATTCTGATTTTTTTTATTAGATGAAATGTATACTTTTTAATGTGTTTAGTCATTGAAAATAATTAATGAATTATTTACTTGATTAGGATAATCATAAGATACTAATTATTGTGTTGTTGTTTTTTATAAATAAGAATAACATTTATAAGCAAAAAGTGATTAATGAATTTTAATTGCTAAATTTTTGTATCATGAAAAATGTTAATGACTACATGTTCTTTAATCAATTTTGTATAAAAGTAAAAGTGGAATGTGATTGCATACAAGTGGTTGCTTATTTATTTTCTAGAACATACTTGTTTCCACCTTATTCGCTATTTAACAAATGAATGAACATCACAGGCTAGACCTTGACATAATTACAGGGGTATATCAATCACTGTTCAATAATCTATATCTCACACTATGAATCAAGGTGTTGATGGATTAAAATACCGAAAACAGGTGTTAAATTTATAAACACTTTTCAGCTGATAAACATAAAACATAAAATGCACTTAAAATCAAATACATTATTTTAATAATCTGCATTAAGAAATATTATTAGATTAAGTCAAAACTAAAATGATAACTTACAAAAAAAAATGGAATGGGGGAGAACTGTCTGCATATTTCAAATTTGGGAAAGAACCTTTAGGGGAGGAAACAGTTTGGGAGAGAACCGTCAGGGAGATGAACTGGAAAGGGAGAAAATAGTCTGTCATTCAATCAATGGTCTGTCAAGACCAAGACGTTAAAGACAAGAGACCATCGATTAGTTGGTAATGTAACGATTCGCCACACTAACGATTCGCCACATAACGATTCGACACAGAGTAATAACGATTCGCCACAGTTAAATAACGATTCGCCACGTGTTCAAGTACAAAATTTTTCACACCTGTTTTCAAACTGTTGATGGAAAACTTTTTGCTATTTTATATTTCATTTGTTAATTACATAAATTAATTACACTAAATACAGCTTTTATTGAACAAAAAGACACGAAAACCAAATATTTTATTAACAAAATTACATAACACAATTCATAACTTCGTTAATTATATAAACTGGAAAAAATATACTAACACCTTCTATAGAATAAAAATACATGAAAATAGATATATTTTATTAACAAAACTACATAACAAATTTTATAACTGGAAAAATATAATAACAACTTTTATAGAATAAAAATACATGAAATACATTCGTTATTTAATTATATGGATAATTATACGAAAACAGCTTTTATTGAATAAAGACACATAATCATATATATATTTTTTATTACCAAAATTACATTATACATTGTAGATAAGTTATTTATATAACTCACATGTTTTATTACAAAATTTACATTTTTTAAAACCTAAACCTGGAAAAGAATACTATAAACAGCTATTGAATAGAAGCACATAAAAACATATTTTATCACCAAAATAACAAAAAGCAATTCTATAGCCAGAAAAAATATACAAGAAATAGCTTTTTTATTATTACATATTAACATAACACTTTGTTAACAGAAAACTAGTAGTGTCCAGTTCTGAGGGAACTCTTATAAACCGTTGTTTATGCGGGACCATACAGGGCTGCACAAGCATCAAGCAAAGCGCTGGTGGTAATTGTTCTTAATCTGTACTGTTCCCAAAGGGCCCACAGTCGTCCTTGAATCTTCTTCGTCTGCTTGGTTTGATATCGTTTAAGTTTCTTCTCTTTCACCAACTTGGTCTGAATTTTCACATCTGCTGCTTCCTTATATAGAAGGGATATCAAAACGTAGAATGGAAGGTTCCCTTTCCTGGCTCGTCTGTTGAGTTTGTTATGCCAGCCTTCACAGTCGTTATTGGTTCTCACAGATCGTCCAAACTGACACCACGATTCCACAGGCCAAATGACGTTGTTGATCCAGGTATTCTCGATGTAGTTGATGTAGGCGTCTGTTTCTGGGGTTGAACTCTTCGACTTCAGATACTGGAAAGCTGGTCTAATGTCGTCTGCTGGCAGAAGTGGGAGGGAAAACGTCTTCCTCAAAAGTTGATAAACATCATTCTGTTCACTGTAAGCTGTCTGTAAATAAAAAAAAAATGCAGATAAATTATTATGATTCATGTATATATAAGATATATGAGAGACTGACTTTTAAAGACATGGAACAATTAATAACTAGTAAAATTTATTTATTTTACAAACATAATTTTCTTATAAACGTGATTCATTCTATAAATTATTATAGCAAGTAGCGTAATATAGATACCTGTAGACCAAGTTCTTGTACTTTACGGAAGAGGGCCTGTCCGAAATGAAACGCACAGCCTTTAATGTGGGGATCCTCAAACACGTCTCTTAGCCCCTGCCACATTCCTGCTTCAAAATCAACAACGAATGTTTCAACGCATCGCCCAGGTGTTAGATTGCTGATCGCTCGGAAGACCTGAAAAAATAACCAGTAATAACTGTAGTTTATAGTTTGTATCAAATGTAGGAAAAAAATCAACAAAATAAAGATAGAGATGTTATTTTTTTTGCAAGAAATACAGTTTGCTGAATGTCATCATTTTATTTACAACTCAAGTAAACATTAATTATTAATATTTCATTACCTTTTTATAGTCACGTCGTTTTTTCCCAGACATTAGTACAAAACATAAAGGGACCTGCTTCATGTTTTCCCCGGACTTGATGAAAGCGTGAACAGACAAAAGTTGAGTGAAGGGAGTCTTCACCACTTTGAATGTACCGTCGATGTACCATGACTTCGCTCTGGAGAGAATGCTGAGCTGTACGTCTGTAGACAGGATAATATGTTTTCGGTCCTTCACCGTAACTGTTTCCCGGTAGAAAGGTTCTTCTATTGTTCGACCAAGGTATTCCTCGTCAATCTGAAAAATATAAAATATTATTATTTAAATTATAACAATAATAATATTCGTATTCACGTTTATATATACATGTATATAAATGTATAAAATACTATTTTAATTGTGATTGCTTTAATTTATATAAACTCTTAATATTTTTGTTTTTTTATACTTATATGTTTTACATTAAGATTAAAATATGTATGATTTATACCTCAAAATCAAGAGTTGTTGGGTCTTTTGGTCGGAGACACGAACGTGCGCGACTGCACATCTGGTAAAGTGCCTGATCTGATGTTCGAGAGGCTTCTGGTTGATTGGCGTCTTGTAGTGAATCTGTTACGTTCTTCACAATTACTGGTGCTGTTTCGAAAATATCGGTGACGGCAACCTCCTTCAACTGGAAATATAAATTGATTTAATACATATATCATATATATTTGTTATATATTGCATGTGAGAACAATGAAAACATATGATAATTATTTATTCATTTTCCGTTTATTTCCTTAATATTTTGGTTTCAGTGTAATTAAAATTCATGTTAAGGTAGACCATGGGTAATGGGCACCATAAAGAACTGTAAAATTGACAACATAGGACAGTTATATGTCTTCAATGTCACCTGTATGCAAAATTTAAATAAAATTTACCGTGTGGTTTATGAGTTATGGATATATTTCTGAACTAAGACCTTGCCATTTGAAGGGCTTATTTTCAGAAATGAGGAAGCTGTAAATAATCTGTAATATCATCATTATAAAAAATGTTTTTCTATTGCTCATTGTTAAGAAACAAATAATAACATTCAAGTAACACATTACACAACCAAAATGTTTGGTTCTAAACAAAATGTTCTTAAAATGTATAAAAATGTAACCCTACCCCACCCACTTTTAACACTAATTTTACCATTTCCCTATCTAAAATGCCTTATTCAAAATATCCCTAAAATTTATCGAAATGAGGGTCTGTTTTCAAACTTTGCCTAAATTTTTTCAAAGGTATATTAGTTGATCATGCGAAATATAAAATACTTTTACCGTGTAGTTTTTATTTTATCGAACTTGAAAATATCTGGTATCATATTTGTTATAAATTTTGGCATTATTTAACCAAAAAAATACCTAAAATAATTATATAATTAAAATCAAACTTTTTTTCTTCCATAAGGGATCAGAGAGATACATAAAAAATGCTAAAAAGAAAAAAAGAAAGAAAAAAAAAGTTGCACCTTCTGGGGTTTGAACCCACGCCCCTCAATTTCAATGTAGTTTACAAGCGATTCTAGCCTATTTGAATACTCTTCAAAGTGGAGGTAATGCATTACCCATGGTCTACCTTAAACTAGCCTGGTTTTTACATATGCTATAAATATCTTCATTTTTTTCCTTGTGATGACAGCTTTAAATTTTGATTTAGAAAATGGTTGAGTATTGTAATCATTGAATATATTGATGATAACGTTACCTTCTTTTTCACTTGAACGGACACGCTTAGTCCAGGTTTAGATGGATGACTGTGACCAACACTTGATGAGTGAAACGAATCCCCCTTCTGTTTAACGATTGCGCTACACTTTAAGTCCTTTCTTCTAACACTACAATGCCACTCTACAACGCCTGAATTGAATGTTCTATTGATTACAAACGAATACCCATCCGATGTCACCAATTTCGGTTTCCCTCGTTCAGTACCCTTCTCTATTACTTCGTAAATCACTTCTGATGCTGATGGTACCCCCACCACAGTGTCATCGGGAATATCAGTCTCTATATTGTCAGGTTCAATATCTCTAACGGTCCCTGGCACGTCAAATATACTGGTGTTGTCGGCGCGAACGTAATCACTAATTTCTTCTATCGTGGATACACTAGAGTTACAGACTGGTTCTGGCACTTCAAGATCACAATAGATCATTGTCACATCTTCACAGTTGTCGACTTCCATCGGTTCTACCTCCATTGACTCGTCATCAAAACGGCAAATTGCGCATATAAAATGCAGATCAATATTACCCTCTACGGCTGCATCATAGTCTTGCTGAGAAATACCTGCAACAATAAAAAAATAATGTTTTAACAAAGCACATTTTTTATTAGTTATATTAACAAAGCACATTTTTTTATTAGTTATATTATTTTATCTATTTAATATGTATGAAGCTTAGTAAATTTAAAAAAAAAAACAGAAAAAAAAAACATTAAACATTTTGACATTGTTCATTTTCGCAATAATTTTTTTAATATAGTATGTAATATTTCATCTTGAATTAATCATACCTGTGTTTCCACATTTTATATGATGCCATCTTTGACACTTGTCACATGTTACAGCACGTGAGTTACTATAGATACGTCTTAAACAGAATGAACAAGGAGGAGCAGGCATGATTTTGTTTTCGTTATTTTTCGTTTGTATACTATTTTGTGTATGATTTTAAGTTGTGCAAGATGGTGTTTTTAAACCCTCTAAATCGGCATATATCGCTCAAATTAATTTGTTAACAAACATAAGCTTAATTACCGCATTGTTTTGAAATCTGCTCACGTTGCCTGCTAAATAAAGGATTATTTCGGCGTCAATTAAATATTTCTACAACAATCCTTAGGTGATTGGCTTGCTTAGATTAAAGGTGTGACAAATGTTTTAGATATGCGTTCTTTAATCAATTATCGTAAATCAATTTTCAAAACACATGTTTTGCAATACCTTTTTTAAAAAAATATTTGACTTATATATAATTTATGAAATATGTATTTTTATAAATATATATTCTATTTTTTTTTCAACATATAATTACTTTCTTGTAAATGTACTCCTGTAATAATGTTACTTTGATAAATTGAAATTCCTCGATGGGGGCCTTAACTTCATAATTTACTTGTATTAAGAAACATTATTAAATTATTGTCTTTGTCAAATTATTAAAACAAAAGGTAATAGTCTGTTGATTACTAAAAAAATCATTTTTATAATCATACTGTGGCGAATCGTTATTTAACTGTGGCGAATCGTTATTACTCTGTGGCGAATCGTTATGTGGCGAATCGTTAGTGTGGCGAATCGTTACTAATTCGATTAGTTGGCCTTAAATTAGCCTGATGCTAGCATACATGTATCAGTGGTTCAAACCATATTGTCCTAACCAAATTAATTTGGAGAGAACAGTTTGACCTATTTTATAGATTGTTTTTCCTACTATCTGTATCAAACAGTTTGTAAAAAATTACCCATCCAAAATTATCTTGGTCTGTTTGACAAGACTAATAATGGCCTATTGTATTCCTATCCGAAATCGCTTCTCATGCGAGTTCTGTGTTCCTTTAACTTGCTATCATCTGACCTTTCTTTTTATCAATAGAATTACTAGAGTTACGCGACTATTTTTAAGTTAAGCGAAAATCACAAGAAAATTTCCGTCTGCATCAGCACCGTCTTGGAATTATTGCCATATTTGTAAGTAAATACGAGAATCACATAACAGTTTCGAACAAATATCACAATAACCTATAAATCCATCGATTTGGTATGTTTGTATTGCAATGACACTATCAAATTATAACAAAAATTCGGAAAAATGTTAAAATCTGTAAGGGCAATTTTGACAGGAAGTCTTTTTTTACCGGTGAAGGGATAAATTTTATACATCCGGTAGCGTCTGGTAAAGAATAAACGGAAACATGGCATTAAGATTAGCTCCGAATTTGCTTCGTTCATTGAGATTTACTGGGTATGGTTGTTAACATGTATTGTGTATATAGCATCTGAACATATTAAGCAAGTTATATAAGTTGACACTGTATCAAAGTCATTGCATATTGCATTCTAATGGGTGGGGTGACGAAGGTCAATAAATTTGCACGCAAAACAATATACGTTGACAACAGGATGAAAATTGAAACGCATTTATAGATATATATGTTCCTTTCAACTTTTGTCTGTTTTTATCTTTGTTATCATTATTGTATGAGGAAATGACTCAAATTCATACAGTGTGGCAACCATTCCCTGACCATGGGGAAAAGGACAGAGGGTTGCTATCCCCATAGAAGAATATGTGGAACCCTCACCCCAAACATCTTGCGATGGCTATCCCCTCTGTTAAAGGTTATTCACAGTAACTTCAGACTATTCTAAATTCTCATTCTTTCCTGGAACTTTACATGTATACAATCAGGCCACGACAAATCCACTTGCCCGGTGGCATTTGCAAGTGAAAGTTCGGGTTGAGCGAGAAAAAAATTGATCAAACTCACCCGACAGGTCTAGTAAGATTCTCCCAATCCAAATGATGTTTCTCTTAGCATCTAATGTACATGAAGTTTTTCAGTAACAAAGAATCAAACTGCAGACGCAATTTCAATCGTTATAGACTACTTCTGTCAAATGAAAACTGGAAATTGACCATAGAATAGAATAACTTTTATTTCCAAAAAAGGGTCATGTTAAATGACATGTGAATCACAATAATAATAATGAGATTATTATAACAAATATGACTACGTATAAAACTTTATGGAACGCATATGATCAATCGATTCTGTAATGACAGCAGCATTCGACATATACATATGCATTAATTAGGTCATGTTTTATACTTAGCCAGTGTTCAATCTAGAACAAATTCCCAGGGGGCCCTTCGGGCCCATAAACTTTTCAAAAGGGGGTCATTTGAGAAAAAAGGGGGCCCGCACTTAAAAGAACATCAAATTAAAATAAGGTATTGTATCTTTTAATTTACTTGTTCACATACCATATATAGACTAAAAACGGTTGCAAAATTCCAAAACAATCAACTCACTAAAAAAATGACATTATTTTGACCATTTTTGAGAGTTCTGTTAGCGTTGATACAGGCTCAATTTTTAGAACTGATTGGTAAAGAAACGATGACATAATGTTCAAAGAAACATATTAATCTTATTTTAATGTTACCATGGATATTTGATAATAATGTTCAGTTTTTTAATCAGCGCCCGATACAAAATGTATATAAAAGAAAATCATATTTCCCAATAAGCTTTGTTGATGAAGACTATAAACTTACAATAGTCGCTAAAAACATTTACCCTTCTCAATATATCCAAACGAAAAACTAAGTGTCAACAGGTGCTAAGACAATGTATATTGACATACCGGTACCTTTGATCTTTTGTCAGGGCAGCAGTTCTTACGTCACGTGTATTGATTAATGATATGCACAATGTTTTAGCGCCGACCAGCCAAAGACCAATCAAAGTTTATTTACTCAATTGTCAGACACCCCCTAGCCAATCGTGTTTGATTAGCTCCATCTTTAAGACTTTTTTAATTGGATGAAGGCGTGTTCGTAATAATTTATGCACACTTCTCTATAATTATCTTGCACTTTTCACAAATATATAGTTTTTTTTCTTCCGGAAAGTTATGACATATTTATTTGTTTTGACCGTGAAAAAACTATAACTACACGCACGTATTGGATTATCTGTGACGATTTGTTTTGTTTATAAAAACTGTGACTCAAAAGTAAGAAATAGTTACGGTACGAAGAAAAAGTCTACATAGTATTTACAGAGTGAGCGTAGCGATCAAGGTTTTAAAAGGGTTACCGAGTGCGGTAACTATCTTACCAACATGCTCTTGTTTTTCTATACAAACTTCAGTTTTGAATTCAGTATTTATTAATATTATTCACAAGAAACTTTTTTTATGTACTTATAATCAGGTTTAAGAAAGCATTCTAATGTCATTTAGGGCATTTTCTATGAGTGCACCCATCGGGCCCACAGTTGAATTTGTTTTGCGCCGGCGGTCTTTTCAGGGGGTCAATGGCGCAATGGCGCGCTCTAGATTGAACACTGCTTAGCCATGAGGTGGATATTTTAGCTGAGTGCGCACGTGTGTTACAATTTAATTGAAATAAGTACATTCAGGTTATGTTGAACGTTATATATTAAAAGAATGAAAAGTATTATAAAGTTAAAACATTATTTAACAATATGTAAATGAATAAAGCCAATTATAACCAATATAGACCTGTAAATAGTAAATTAGAGTCTTGTACATGTTTGATTTTTTACAAATTTTGACTGTCAAAATGCAGGGCAAGTACCTTGAAAAAATGGAGGCCTGACAATTATGTATACCACCTAACCCATGCAGTTGCCCTACTGCCTACCCCAGAACAGCTCAGTGCAGCTGTAGCTGTAGTTTTCAAGATACCTAATAGCCTCTAGAAACCTGTTACAGTTAAAAGAATATAATGTGTTGATGTTTTAGCTAAAATATACTTTTCCCTTCTAATCTCACATTAATGCCTTTTAAGTTTGTTCAAGTACACTGATGCAGTTAACTTATTGTTTTTTTCATGTTTCATGAGATCATACATTTGTAAATGTATGTAATCCTTTATAAGTCATAGTTTGAGGATGGTTTTAATGTTAAGTTTCTATTATGTGCATTTAGTCCAGTGATTTTCTTGCTTATATAACAGACTTCGATAAAAGGCCTGTTCCAAATTGAAATTTTCTTTAAAATCAAGCAGTTTTCGCAAAAATCTGCTTACTTAAAGCTGCCTTTTTACTTCCCAAATTAGCATTAGTGATAATTTTTCCCAAAATCAAGTGAGAATAATCATTGAAGTCGGATAGAATGTAGTATATTGATTTTATCTAAAATGTTGTGAAATTCCTAAAATGAGATCTTAAGATAATCAAGCTTGTAATACCTTGTTATTATTTGTTATAAGCATGTTAATGATGTTAATGTCTACTGCATGGCCGAGTGGTTAATGCCTCGGACTAGTATCTAAGGATTGCTGACAGCATAGGTTCAAACCTTGTCAGGGGCAAGCCGTTGTTTCCTTGTGCAAGAAATTTTACATTCATTGCTTAGTACTGGTTGGTTCCAGGAACGGATTCGAGAGTGTTTCAATAAGCTTAAAGCTTCCAACACAATCGAACTAAAATAAATTTGTATAAACTAATGTCTGCTGTAGTTTTGTTTGCTTTTTTCACTTGGGTTTTTTGGCAGAAATGCTATCCCATTCACAGAGCCAAAATTCTTAAAATTTTTAGCTCACCTGTCACAAAGTGACAGGGTGAGCTTTTGTGATTGCTTTTCAACCGGCGGGCGTCTGTCGTCCGTCCGTCCGTAAACTTTTACTTTAAATGACATCTCCTCATAAACCACTAAGCCAATTTCATCCAAACTTCACAGGAATGTTCCTTTGGTGGTCACCTTTAAAAAATTTTTAAAGAAAAATGGGAATTTCACACATAGCAAATTCCAATGAGTTATTCATATTGTTAAAGTTCTCTTGTTAAGAAGGTTAAAATCAGTCAGAATAAATTTTGTATTAAAAAAAAAAAAAAATATGTGGAAAATGTATATTAATTAGGGATGCCAGGGGAATGTAAAATTGAGGTATTTTACAGATATGGGCTAAATATAATTATCAAATTCCCTTGAAATAAATGTATTGTCCTAAAAACAATTTCTTTGATTTTCAGTGCGAGAGCCATGTCTCAAGTTGGAGGTTTCGGTGAAGGAGCAGGAAAGGTAAAATTATTGATTATCTAGTGGTTGAAAATATATTGCCCAAAAAGCCTGTCACTCCATTTTTGGTACATTAAATGTATAAAATCAGCACCAACTGGTCATTAAATACTAACTATTAAATTGAATTGGCATATTGTGCAAGCTAGTAGTATGAAAATTCAGAACCTAAATTAATGTCAGCCACGTAGTAGGTACACCTGTACATTGTGAAAATGTAAAAGAAAAGAATTTGACATAGCTTGGCTTTGACTGCATTATAATTAATTCTTTTATTTTGGCTAATGATTGAATGTCTTCTACTTTGAATGTTGATTCAAATTAATTTTTTGTTACTGTCTGCACGAAAAACTTTTTATGGTCATAGACATTCGGGCTTTGTCCATCAAAATATCATATAGCCCAAAACAATTTTAACTAGCCCAAAAATTCTTACAAAAATTGTGGCCAACTTACTTAAATCTGGAGAAAATAATGCAAAGTGATATCAGTTGATTAACTTTATAATTTCTGATATTCTTATACAGGGTGTACTGTAGACTGTAACTCAAGGGTCAAATTATTTCATTTAACTTATGGTGTCGTAGCTTACTCAGAAAAAAATCAATATGCATTTGCCTCTTGGTCATTATAAATACAATAGGTGTAAATGCCTTATATAAATTATTGTAGGAAAATTTCCCTGAGTCATTCAAATGTATTTTTTTCGGATCTCAAAACATTCTAGACTGTCGGACTACGCTCCCTACATTTATGCTAGCCCGAATGAAATTTTACTAGACTGGGGCTCGGGCTTTGCCTTTTTTTCGCAGACTGTTGTTAGTGGCGATCATTCTGTTGCTGATCACAGCATACTGTAAATGGTTAACTCAACTGCCTGTAGAATATAATTATGTAATAAAGTACAATACATTATATTGAAGAGTGCTGATTTGCAAGAATTTTTCAACAATTATTAAAAGTTTGTTATTTATGTATAAATGTTAGAAGAAATGACTCTTCAAATTCTTTTGAAAATGAATTTATTTTACCGTATTGGACATTTTCCTTGCACTATTGGTTCTTTTCTGGTCTTTGACTGTACCTACATGTAGTACTTCCTACACATAAAGTTCAAAGAGTTGATAGTAATTATTTTAGATAATTAAAGCACTGATGTAAGGCAAAGACTTTGAACTGTTTCATGTAAGCTAGATTATATAATAAAAAAAATTTCATTGGTTCTTCTTTAGTGTTTTCTTTTGCCTGAAATAATGCACAGAGGGCAAATTGAGGTCATCTTTCACTGAGGACTTGTCAGGTCTTCTTTCATTAGTAAAGCTTCAAAGTGGCTATACGACTATTGAAAATAGGATAATGAGAGCTCTGATACATTTCTAGGGTGGTGGCACTGGAGGTTCTATCAGAGAGGCAGGTGGAAGTTTCGGTAAAATGGAGGCTGCTCACGAAGAGGAATATTTCAGAAGATTGGTAAATGACTTATGTTTTTTTTAGAGTAAAAACAAAACAATAAGGAAGCAATTTTATACTGTAAAACCATCATTATTCGAGGGGATTTAATTTTTGTGGATCAGGTCATCCACAAAATTAAATTAGTCTTGATGAACTAATTGTGCCCAAGATAATACAATTATAGGCATGTGATATGGCTGACAATTGCATTCATCCTTCGTAGACAAGGTGTGTGCTAACCTTTGGCTTTTCTGTACTCTATGGATGTTCAATCAACAATAAACATAGATATGCATCGGAAACTAAACCAACTGTTTTGAGTATTTCATTCAGGCATGTACCCATATCTTCTTTGTTTACTACATGTACATGTATGCATTCAGAATGAAAGTAGAAATAGAACTAAATAGTAGTGAAGTAGCGTCACATGCCTGTCAGATGATACTATACTACAGATATCATTTGCTATTATACGGTCCCTGTCTGAAATGTTTAATTTTGAATGAACTATTATTACAATGTACATCGGAACCAAAAACTTGGTATTGTAACTTGACTACTAGATTTTTGTCTGTTGCATTCTTACCTAATTCCTATTTCATGATACTCAGATGGTTATATTATAACTTATAATTAAATACAATAGCCCTGTATTTATTTTTCATGATTCTTGATCATTCGCAATAAAAAATTTCAATGCGTCAAGTAACACAGAACAACACATAAGTGTATGACATTTAAATATTAGTGAGTGTTTCTATCGTAAGTATGCTGAAACTTATAGCACACTGCCGTAACAGACACAAAGACACATTTAAAAAATTTGCATGAACAACATATCAACTTTACATCATTAAAATTCCTTGTCTGTGTAGCTAAAATAATTTAAGGTAGGCATCATTACAGTCCGAAGGCGGCATTTTCACATCTTTAAACTTATAAAGACAGTTTTTGCACACTTTAAATTTAAACGATAGTGCCGCATTAGATATTAGAATACAATTGAAATTTTTTTTAATTGTCAGTCAAGTACCATAAGTGTTTGGACAGATAGAGATCACGTTTTCTTGCACATGTCAACGCTAAAAGAGCACAAAATTAATGCTGAATTTTATTTGGCTTTTTTGTTATCCACAAAATTTACGGCCTCGTATTTCTTCTTACCTGGCAACTGAATTCTACAAATTTACAGTTCCACAAAATTGCAATTTTTAGGAAACCACATAATTTTATGCCCTAGACTTTAAATGATTTCACAGTTTGAATATTGTAATAATGGGGGTAAAAAAAAACCCATTTATTTCTGCTGAAATATAGGAGAAAAATGTCCACCTTTAGCCTTAAAAGATAAAGAATTACACACTATGCATTGTATGTATTGATGTATGTATCTATAAGTTTTATCTTTTTATGTGTCTATTCAACAGAATGCTAGAAATATGGAGGAATTAAAAAGACAACATGATGAAGAAATGGAAGCTCATATTAAGGATAATATTGAACATTTAGAGCAAAATCTTAAAGCTGCACAAGTCAGTATAAATTCACTATTTCATTTGATATTATGAATATGTTATTGAATTCAGTAGGGCTGCCATTGTTGAAAAAGTTTTGTATGGAAAGCTGAATATTGCTAAATGATATGTACATCATGGTCCTCTGTGATCACTGTTTTAAAAAATTACTTGCCCCTCTTAGCTTAGGGTTTGAATCATGTCAGGATTCTTTCATGTCATGAAGTTATCCAGCTAGTTTACTGAAGGTTGGTGGTTCTACTCAGGTGCCCACTTGTACCTGATTAATGCATGAATTGGGGCACCGGAGGTCTTCCTCCACGACAAAAAGATATTTTAGATTTTAGATCAATATTCTAAACTGTGAATTGGTATTGAAATTAAATGTTGAACAGCATGATATTGGTATATCATCAATATTCAACATTTGATTCGATCCATATCATGCTATTCAATGACAGTTAATTTTTTGTCTGTTGATGTGAAAATTGTACATGTATTAGTCGATACATTTTAATGTTATTTATAGAATTAAATTTGATACAGCATTCTTGTTTCTATTAGTAAAATAAAATTGTAAAATTGTTACTAAATTTAGTTTAATACTGCTTGCCCTAATTTGAATGAGTATATTAAACAAAACATCATGGCATTACACAAATAAATAATTTGTTAAAAAAGCATCATACCAAAGGTTGTTGTCTTTTAGTCATGCAGTGGCAATTTTGAAATTACTGCAGTAAACGAACCTGTGGTAACTTTTTCAATGAACAGCCCTTGAGACACCAATCTAATACATGTAACCAGATTTTTCCTTTGAAAGCCTTTGAGTATTGAGGGGGAAAAAATATAAAGAAGTAAAGATATTATTCTAGTGATAAAGGAGATTGGGACTTTCAAAATTTGTTTGAGATAACAAACAATTGCAAAATTCAATGATGAGGTTGCGATAGTTGACTGTATGGTCATCTAGGGATGTGCTTCTTTAAAGGCTGACAGTACCATTGAAAACAGTTGTATATAATTAATAATGTTTTGTTCTTATTACCTTCAGGATGCTATTGCTAGACAAAAGAAGAGGTTGGAAAATCTTAAAAAGGACGACAGTTCCGACTCGGACTGATTTTCCTAAACTTGACATTTTGTCCATGTGTATGAGGTGATGATATTTGTGTTTAAATCAACTGTAAAAAATCTCTTTTTCTATCTTTAAAATATTAGATGTTAAGGTAATAATTGGCATGTAAAAAAGCCAACTGCTTTTTTTAAGGGTGTATACAGTTGAAATCTATCAACACTAGATTAAGAAATTTAGTGCTTTTGTCTAAAAATGTTGTTAACCGTTTGTAAGATAATGAATAAAGTGCTATTTTATGTTGCTGTATTTTGTGAAATAGAAATGCAGAAAAAATGAACAGTGTTATCATGTTCTTATTGTACCTTTTTAATCAACAGACCTACATTTTTCGTAACTGGAAAGTCTTATATAGACAAAGGTAAATTACAATATAGTTTCTTGTACCATTCATACCTTCATAAAAGTGCTTTTTTGACATGCTAATTAGGGTAATGACCTCACGAGTCAGCTCAGTCATCTACACCTGATGGTATTGTTTGATTTTATTAACCTGTCAATTCCATACTCGTTATACGGTCAATGCACAGAATATATTAATATTCGATAAATGTTCGGTAAATTCCGTGAGAGGTACGCAGTAAGATGTAATTAAATTAATCTAGTTTCTGTGGATTAGTTACACTGACCGTTATAGCGCAATAGGGTAAACCACGGGTATATAATATCAAATGTTCTACATGTTGTAAGATCGAGACAGTGTATGTCAAGGGTTTTTTTCTTATTCATAAATATTTTCAAATTTTTGAAGTTAAGGTTGTTCTGTTTTTAATATGCTTTGTACTCTTGTAAATACTATATTTTTGTATGTAATTGATACTGAAAATTCATTCGGATTATAATCAATAAATGTTATTTCAGTGCCTTAAAATACAATACAAAATGTGACAATTCAGTGTTTCTTGGTTGTTTCATTCCGCGTAGACAATTTTGCAAACGCTTGACAAGTTTCTTTAAAAAATATAGCTAAAATAAAGAGAGAATAAGTCTTAAAAGAATGTCAAAAGAAGGGATCGAACCTCGGACCTCTCATACATTAGGTAATTACTTAACCGACTGTGCTATTGCGGGTGCTACAAGAACTTTCATGAAGTTAGTGGGAGTTTTCCAAACGTTAGTGATATACTCCATATTAATTCTCGTAAAATAAACGGACAAAACCGAAGTGGGATCGAATATTTAAATGAGTGCTATAATGTATTCATTATTGACAGGTCAATAAAATCAGACTATATTCTTCCAAAAGATAAACATACAATTGATTATAGCCAGTGGCGTCAACATGACTTAGATATGCATCAACATAAGTCTATTGAAATAGTCTTATACAGTTGTAAGAAACTGAATATTAAAGACTAAATGGCATAAATTATTATGGTAGAACAGTTCAGTCCATTATGTCAGAGACTGTTGCGAACCAGTTGCCTCTGGCCGAAAGTTGCCAACTGAATTTCTCTTGTCGGATTTGAACCACACAATAGAATGAATTATTTAAGCAAGGAAGATATTAACCAGTAACTGGCAGCTCGAGTGGCCTTTTCTACATTTCCGCCTCTCTTGTCCCCAAGATATTTTTCTTAGTTTAGGTTTTAAGTTGCACCAACTCGGTAACTACCCGCATTTACTGGTGGAGGAAGACCTCTGTTGTTGCATTATTTCAGGCACCAACCTGTAAGCTAGATAAATAGCTTTCTTGCATATAAGAATTCTAAGTCCCTGGTGGGATTCAACTTACTGTAGTGAGAAGCAAGTAGCTGGAAGCAAAAGACGTAACCACTTGTCCATGGAATCCAATGTGTAAGATGAGACACAGACAAGAATCTGAGGTCTTTATCAGCTGTGATTGAAAGTCACTGGGTGATCTTAAGTGTGAATTTAGCTTACAACTGCTAATATTACTCTTTTTAGCAATTATCATGCCCTGTCTGTATCTTTTGAACCTGTGGAAGGAAATTGAAACTTCCAAATAGAAATGTTAACAATGAGACGATGTGCAGAGCACTGATTTGACCTTTCTATGGTCAAAGTCACACAATTTTTTTGTATAAATTTCATGTTTGCTCTGTATCTTTTGAACCGATAGAAAGAAATTAAAGAATTATTGCAGAAATTTACTTCAAAGAAAATGTGCAGAACACATAGTTGGAATTCCCGAGATTAAATAACGCCCCACCCTGGGAATTACTTGATATATATATGTGCTACAATGTCTAAAGCTTAGATATTTAGCTTGTTGTATTGCCTTATTGACCTTTACAAAACTAAATCCTGCCTCTTGGTACAATATTGGCCCAACCGAGGGGTCATATAGGAAGAATACATCCAAGACTTATTTTGTAAAACTGCTTAAATATTTGGCATGTAACATCACTTTGTGCCCCTTGGTAAATACTTGCCCTGTCCCTGGGGTCACATAGTGGATATAGTTTTTGTACGAAAAAAAGTACATTTCAGTCTTGTTTAGAGTTTACATACAAAAATGTACATATATTTGACATGTTGCATTGTCGTGTTGGTCTCTACAAAACTGGTATTTATCATGCATCTGAAGTCGATACTGGCCCTGCCCCTGTGGTCACTTCATAAAGTCGTGTATAAGAAGCACATTTCAGTTTTATTTTGTGAAACTACAATGCCAGGAGCAAAGATATTTAGCATGAAGTATACCTTGTGAACGTCCGCAAACAAAACTTAAATCATGCCCCTGGGGTCAATATTTGCCCGACCTGGGGGGACTCACTGATTTACATTATCAACTTGTATAGTATTATATATGAAGCCCAGAGCTTAGATATTCAGTGCGTAGCATCAATTTTTAGAATCCAACTTACATTATGACCACAACAGAGTAAAGGCAACATAAAAGTATCATTTGTAACTTCTCCATAGTCTGTCCATCTGTCAAAAAAACTTTTCCTACTCGTAAAAAAATACTGGAGCAATTTCATCCACATTTTATAGGAATGATCAGTACCAAGTTCAGTTGAGCAGATTGTCAGCATTTTCCAGTTCAATGTTTTTTGTCAGACCTTTGGCCCCCAACCCCCCCCCCCTTATTATTTTTAAAAGTTTGTCCGGACTACTAATGCAATTTGAATTAAACATCACAGGATTATTGGTACCTAAGTACTTGTGCATATTTAGCAAGTTTTTCAGTTGAAAGATTTTCGCAGAAGTTGTGGGCCTCCAATAAAAAGGGCGTTTTGGCCTGTTAATACAGAAACCCGCAGTGGGGGCCATTTTTTTACGAATCAAATTTGAAAATCTTATTTGTCAATAACCAATCATTTCAATTAAGATATCAAAATCAACCAAAGATGACTTTCATTGCATTCTATTTATTATAGTATTGGAAAATGATCACACCGTAACAGCCTTTTTAGGACTTGCTGAAATTATTTAAACATTCTGGGTAATTTGTCACCAAAAGATGTTGGAAAATCAAACCATTTTATTTAGAAGTTTTCCCCAAAGGTTTTGACAAGGTCTTTTTTCCCTTTTGGTTACTTAGGCAAACAAAGGTAAGTATGGAAAGATGTCATTTAAAGCTTTTTTTTAATTACTTTTTTAACTCGGGTAGCCATCTTGGTCTGGAGCAATTACTGTAATGCACATCCTCTATTATGCAGTATGTTTATAATAACAATGTTCAATCTAGTTTTAGCTCAAGCATGACAAGTTCCATAACTATATCTAAGAGGTAAATATTATAAACAATGAAGACAATTTGAATAACTAGCTCAACTTTTATTTCATGAGGAAAAAAAATTCCAGAAAAAAAAAAAAATTTAAAAAAATTACAGTACATGACAAGCTATACTAATTAAGTCTCTCTCTTGAAAAAAAAAGAAAAACGTTTTACATGTAAGTATCGGTAATATTACCATTACTTCCCTCTTCTCAAGTATCTCAAATCAAAGGTCCTTACTTAATTAACACAATAAGACAACACCAATGGTAAAAGTCAAACTCTACACACCACTACTGTAACATATAATACAGTTCCCGTTTTTTATATATTTATCATATATTATATTGAACAGATAAAAGATATTTTACTATTTTTTTGGTTATTTTTTTATACATATATATATTATAATCATTAAAAAAAGAGAGAGAGTTAACAGTAATCATATCATATCTGTTGTAGTGCTTGGATTTTTTTGGTTGTTTATTTTTGAACATTTGCCTCCATTTCAAATTTTTTTCCGAGAAAAACATTTTTTATCAATTTTTGAAAAAAAATAATTGAAACAAATGTTCAAAAATACTCACACGATTTTTTCTAATATGCAAAAAAACAACAAAAAAGCAACGGTAAAGTTACATTACTTTTGCATTTTTCGACATATCAACTTTTTTTTATTGTTAAAAACAGAACCGACGCGTATTTTTTTCACAAGAGACCCGTTCAGATTTGTTAAAAAATGCAAAATTAACATGTCAAGCTATATCCAACGGTCACTTTCGGTCTTTTGTTTGTAAAGTTCATAGTTATTCTTTCTTCATGGCATTGGTGGCGGCCTGAGTGGCAGCAGCTTCCTTGGCTTGGTGAGCCTGTAACACAGCTACAGCTTCCTCAACCTACATAAATAGTAAACAATAATTATCATTAATTTATAATAAAATAAATAAAATCCGTTACAAAAATGAAAGTTTGTTGATCTCAAATTGACTTTCTAGCTGTTGTTTTTTTTTCTTTTGTAGAGGAAGATTTTGGTTACTTCCACATGCATTATTATATTTTGGTTGATATCTCCTAGCCCAATTAGGTTTTTACAAGACCGAAAATGATGAATTATGGAAGTAGATGGTAATTCAAGAAAAACTACTTAAGATGGTTAAATTTGCTTCTAGTATTCCCTAAAGGATAAATTAGTTTTCCATTGGTTTTTGAAATTCCCTCATTTTTATTTATCAGAAACCAAAGTCATTGACTCCTAATTTTTCACACTGGCTTGTCAGGCAAGTAACTTGGAAAATGTTACTCATGTTCTACTACAGCCATGATCCACCTACTAGTGCATAATTTGCAGACTCTGGTTTTGTAGTCACTATAACCACTCTGCCATATTGGCCTCGTTATTTATTCATCTGATTGGGGTTAAAGTCACACCAACAGTGTTAAGGTAACACAGTGTCGTTTCACCTTTTCTGAGCATTATTTCAATCAGAAGCAGGAATCCTTGTCAATCCAACAATCTTTCTTAAGCTAACTGTTTAGCTTTCTTGCAGGAAAGAATTCATAATCCCTGGATGGATAAGAACCTAGGGCAGTGAAATTAAAGTTGTCCGAGACGTTAACCACTCGACCATTAATAAAATCGCTATTTAGTAAAAGATCAATAACGTACCTTGGCCTTCAAAGACTCCTTGGATTCCAACATATGGAGCAACTCGGAGTTGTCAATTTCAAGCAACATGCCGGTGATCTTACCCGCGAGGTCTGGGTACATATGTTGGATGAGGGGGAACAGACGTTCTCCCAACATCTGCTTTTGTTCCTGGGGTGGGGCGGCAGCCAACATGGAAGCTGTCAAAGCGTCCTGGCCTGGCACAACAATAGCCTGGCTTTGTTGCTACAAAATAAAAATAAGAAATCATTTAAATAAACTTACTTTCCCCTTTGGTAATTTATCAAGAATGTCAGCTTCTTTTAATCACTTACTTAACAAAGCTTACTGTTTCTTTTGAAGTGTGACCAATTCTGACAAATATAGACTTTTTAAGTTATTTTCATTAACAAAACAATTAGACTACTGATTTATCAATTGATTCTTTAACTCTGAAAAGAAAATAAGGCATGTTCATGCTATGAACACAATTGTTATATTGGACCATTAAACCACAAGATTAATGCAGAAACTTTCATTTATGAACCCATTAAAACCCCAGCAGGCAAGGTAGACCGACTTTTTAGCTTAAAACCAGGCTTTTGCCAACACTGTTCATTAAACATTTTCATCCTTGTAAATAACTTCTTCTAACCTGTGGCCTGTTCTGGAACTGGCTGTATCCTGGCCGAGCACCCTGGGGCATGGTTGGAGCCTGAGGCTGCTGGGGCCTTCCTTGCATCGAGCTCTGAGGCATGCTCATTCCTGGGCGTGCTTGGGCTCCAGACTGGCCGGTAATTGGTCTTGCATTCATTGTGGATGGTCTCATCTGTTGCTGGGCACCTGGTGCTTGACCAGCACTGGCTGAAGCTGATGGTCTTGGACCCGGTCTTACTGGTCCACCTGGCATGGACTGGAAGCTTGCTGCAATAGAACCATTCTTAATTTTATTCAATGTACTTAAAGGAGTATGTAGACAAATGTTCAATTTAAGTTTACTTCAATAGAAAAACTTTCATAAAGCCTCCATCAATTTACAACAGTAAGTGAAGCAACTACAGGTAAAGACAAAGTAAGAAGCATTTGACCATTTATTTTTCTAAGTGTATCAGAATGACTTCTTTTAATCAGCCTATGTAGGAATTCAAGATGAAACAGTAGACGGGGCCAAAAATAAAATTATGTTCGTTTCCCCTTCCCGACCCATTAAAATTAGGGTTGGGTAGGTAGGAAATTTTTTTTTTATGTGCATAACAATAAATAATCTGCATATTTGTATAATGGACTATTAAAATTAATTTATTAAGTGCAATAGTATATGTAGTCATGTATTACCATATTTACAACTGACATATGCAACAATTTAGTAACTTGCTAGCGGTCTAAAATATCAGATTGATTGTACCTATTGTACTCTGAAAGAAAAAAAACACTTTCATCACCTTAGAAACTGAAAAAATTTGTTGGGTAGGTAGAGCCCAGACAAATTTCTAATTTCAGTGAATTTCAAATATGTATTTTTTATACACATCTCTATTCTATTTAGCAATATATCATGCTGTAAGTATAAACTATTAATACTTACTACCACCAGGTTGGCCTGTAGGTCTGACTGTCTGCCAGCGTGGTCCAGCTCTCATTTGTGGGATCTGTGTAGGAGCAAAGTAGTTGGCTCTTGCAGCACCTGGGTTCATGGTGGGGACAAAGTAACCTGCACCACTGCCTGGTTGGAACACTTGACCCATTTGTTGTGACTGTGCATAAAGAATACAACATGTAGGTTTTCTTATTAAGAAATAATTTAAACTAGACCTATCACTGAAGGTGATTAATACCCCCACCTGCAACTTTGACTTTATGAAAAGAAAAGTAGTCTGAAGAAAAATTTGAACACAAACTATCAACTGTGCACAAAGAAAAATTTCAATTAATTGTAATCGCAACTGGGGTCTTGAAATAAACTCGCTATACACCAAGTTTGATTACAATATCTCATTCCTAACTCTACTTATTGTCCGGAAACCATTTTTCTATTTTAAGTAACACTGTAACGGTGAATTTGACCCTAGGGGTCCAAATGCAATACCAACCCAGGTCTTCATATAAGCTTCCTATACACCAAATTAGATTACAATATCTCATTCCTAACTCTACTTATTGTCCGAAAACCATTTTTTCTATTTTTCCTAACAGTGACCTTGGCCTTGACCCCAGGGGGCCCAAATGCAATACCAACCCAGGTCTTAATATAAGCTTGCTATACCCCAAGTTTGATAATAATATCTCATTCCTAACTCTAGTTATTGTCCAGAAACCATTTTTCTATTTTTAGTAACACTGTAACGGTGACCTTGACCCCAAGGGGTCCAAATGCAATACCAACCCAGGTCTTCATATAAGCTTCCTTTACACCAAATTAGATTACAATATCTCATTCCTAACTCTAGTTATTGTTCGAAAACCATATTTCTATTTTTCCTAACGGTGACCTTGTTTTTGAACCCAGGGGGCCCAAATGCAATACCAACCCAGGTCTTCATATAAGCTTGCTATACGCCAAGTTTGATAACAATATCTCATTCCTAACTCAAGTTATTGTCCGGAAACCATTTTTATATTTTTAGTAACGGTGACCTTGACCCCAAGGGGTCCAAATGCAATACCAACCCAGGTCTTCATATAAGCTTGCTATACACCAAATTAGATTACAATATCTCATTCCTAACTCTAGTTATTGTTCGAAAACCATATTTCTATTTTTCCTAACGGTGACCTTGTTTTTGAACCCAGGGGGCCCAAATGCAATACCAACCCAGGTCTTCATATAAGCTTGCTATACGCCAAGTTTGATAACAATATCTCATTCCTAACTCAAGTTATTGTCCGGAAACCATTTTTATATTTTTAGTAACGGTGACCTTGACCCCAAGGGGTCCAAATGCAATACCAACCCAGGTCTTCATATAAGCTTGCTATACACCAAGTTTGATTACAGTATCTCATTCCTAAGTCAAGTTATTGTCCGGAAACCATTTTTCTATTTTTAGTAACGGTGACCTTGACCTTGACCCAAGGGGGCCCAAATGCAATACCAACCCAGGTCTTCATATAAGCTTGCTATACGCCAAGTTTGATAACAATATCTCATTCCTAACTCAAGTTATTGTCCGGAAACCATTTTTATATTTTTAGTAACGGTGACCTTGACCCCAAGGGGTCCAAATGCAATACCAACCCAGGTCTTCATATAAGCTTGCTATACACCAAGTTTGATTACAGTATCTCATTCCTAAGTCAAGTTATTGTCCGGAAACCATTTTTCTATTTTTAGTAACGGTGACCTTGCCCTTGACCCAAGGGGGCCCAAATGCAATACCAACCCAGGTCTTCATATAAGCTTGCTATAGGCCAAGTTTGATAACAATATCTCATTCCTAACTCTAGTTAGTGTCCGGAAACCATTTTTCTATTTTTAGTAACGGTGACCTTGACCTTAACCCCAGAGGGTCCAAATGCAATACTAACCGGACTTTCCACATAAGGTTGCTATATACCAAGTTTGATAACAATACCTTATTCATAACTCTAGTTATCGTCCGGAAACCATGATGTGGACCGACCGACGGACGACCGACCGACAAGCTGACTCCTATATACCCCCCCTAAACTTCGTTTGTGGGGGTATAATTAATGCTGTAAATATTGTAAAAGTAATAGCACAAATAAGTGACTTATGCTCAGTAAGAAAACTGTCTATATAGTGACCAGTATAAATTCTTTACATTATTTGCATAGATTGAAACAGATGAAGTTGACATTAAACACAAAGCATCTGTTATATGTATGCTTCAAATGAAGAAATCGCTCAATTTAAGGAAGGTGTCTCGCAAAAAAATGTCATACATGACACTACATTGATTCTGAACCACAGTTTTTTTTTATATATTTTGTGTTTGTTGTTTGGTTTCAAGTCACAGTGGCATTGTCAAGATCACAAGGACACATCCCACCTTAACTGGCATGGGAAGAGCTCCGGCGACTCTTCAACATGTCATTTACAAACAAGTGTCAGAGTAGAACCATCAACATAATTGTATACTCTTCCTCACATGAAATTACAGAAAGTCAAAAGATAAGATTCAAACCTACTGTGGTGAGCAGCAAGTGATTAAAAGTTAACAAACTTTACTGCTCTGTCATAGACATGTCCTTCAAACATTTGTAAATTAATACAAGACTGAAGGGCAGAACTATTCCTAATTAAGACAGTAAGACAGAAATTGAAAACTCAGAAGGAAAGCTTGTTGCAGTATCACACATTAAATGTTCACATCTTAGAACATCTAAGTGTGTGCGTGTAATGCCCGATCATTTACTATACCCAAACTGGGAGGAGGCTAACAACCTGTCAGACTCCAGGGTTTTTGGGATACATTACAACATGTATTACTGCATAAATTTTTATATTTATTCACATTCCTTGAAAATAAATGCAAAGCAAATACTCTTAAATTGGTTGTATGCAATTTAACATGCATTAAAACAATTTAAATGAGTTTCCCCTTTGTTAGTTAACAATTCTTTTTACCAGTTTTAAGCCACATACTTCCCAGCAGTAAAAATTTACTTGAAACAGTAAACTTTCACTTGAAACAATCATACCTAACATTAATCTTTATTTGAATAAACAGTAATCTTAGGATGAATAGATTTTTGAAGCACACGATTTTCCTCAATATATCAAATCTTAAAATTGCTATTTTGCAAAATTAATGAAATTTAAATTGGTGCGATAAGAACTTAGGTGTACAGTAGTTTTTCTTTAAATGCCAAACGATGATATAAGAAACACTAACAAGCCACCTTGCTTAAACTCAATGACTTTCAAATCATTAAAACAACACTTTAAAGGGAATACTTCAATACTCTCATCCTTATCCTGTATGTAGATAAATATATACACTGCCGAATGCATGTTATGGACAATGATATGTATACTGTTGCAAATAAAACAAGTTTAAACTTAAAGAATCTTCACCTGTATCCTCATGCTAGCGAGACGTTGCATGTACTGCGAAGCTAAATGTGCCTTTCTGTCTTCTTTTCTCTGTGCAAGAGCTACGTACAGAGGCTTGGCTACGATGATGCGACCATTCATCTCCGTTACAGCCTTTGTAGCTTCCTCAGGTGAGCTGAAACACACAAATCCAAATCCCTTTGATCGTCCACCCTCCACCATTACCTGAAAAGCAAGTTAGACTGTAAGAGGAGAAAAAAACTACATATAAATTTTGTCTTGCATTATCACTTCACAAATAAAAATATGGAGGCAGAGTAATAAAAAAATAAATATTTTGAACCTGACCTGACAGGCTGACTGTTGTACCTGAGTAAATCCAAGCCTAGAAAATAGTGTGGAAATAGTCTTTCAAGTTTTTATGGTTTATGAAAGCTTTTATGAGTAGCAAAAGGAGAAAAATCACATCATAAAAATTCCATTTTTCTGTATCAAGATGAAAATGCATTGCTTTTTATTTCAGTCTCAAAATCCTATAAATCAGTAAGGACAGTACCAAAATTCAAGGCTGAGAAAATATACTTAACTAAACATCTTCAAACAAGGCTCAAACATACAAGTATATACAGACATATACTTCATGATAATGAGACAACTACAAGGGCAATTAAATGCTTGTCAGCTTTAAAAAGAAGTTTTATAAGGTTGTGAGAATCATGGGCAATGGAGGCATATGTCATATGCTCATATAGATACACTTAAATAAAATGGTAATGATTTTTTTTAACTGACTTTCCTTTGGTCAGGAAATCTGGTTTGGTAAGATAAATGGACCAAAACTGTCCAGTTATGCCAAAACACTTTCCGGAATGTCTGTTTTTGATGAGCAATGATTATTTTGCAATAAAGACAAAGCTAACCTTGGCACTGGTGATTGTACCAAACTGTGAGAATTCTTTTCTAAGTCGTTCATCATCAATGCTGTCATCTAGATTCTTGACGTACAAGTTCACACCCTGGTACCTATTCATTCTCTCTTGCTTCAACCTGTCAAACTTGTCTTTAAGCTCAGCCTGGCGTTCTGCTCGTTTCTGGGCACGACCAACATACAAAGTTCTTCCATCAGACTCATTGCCATTCATTTCTGTTACAGCCTAAATAATTTTGCAACAAAAAATATTAATATGTGAAACATAAATTTCTGGTTTGATATACGAAACTGTATGATATAAAATTACTTCAATTCTAGTCATACAGTAAAATTAACAGCTTATGTGAGCATAAGTGGCAAAATAAAATCTATTGGACAAGAACACGAAATTGCTTTTTAGTTCCTTGTATGCTGGACAATCCACAATTTAAATAAAGGACTGCAATCTATCAAGACAAAATAAGGATGTTTTACCTTTTCAGCAGCCTCAGGTTCTTCATAACTGACAAATCCAAATCCACGGCCTTTACCATCAAAACTAGTCATTACCTGTTCGAAAAAGCACACAGTTATAGCAGAACTGTTATTTTTAAAATTTAATCACATGTTTAAATTATCATCAAATACTATGCTAAAAAAGTAAAAATATTTAAGTATTGAATCTAAAACCCTAAAATGGCTTCCTTATATAAATATGCAGAAAAATAAATGTGCAAAGAAGTTTTTTAAACAAAACTGCCCAATGTCATCTTTATTTTGAACTCAGATCTTTCACATGTATTTGTTTTTCACACATTTGTAATTGGACGGTTTAAACCAGAGGACATTTCTTAAGAACATAAAAAAATTCCTTTTTTATAAATTGATAAAGGATGCAAACCTTTGCACTTATAATCTTTCCAAATTGTTCAAACCAAGCCTTCAATTTCTCATCATCGATATCCTCACTAAAATTCTTTATATATACATTATTGAACTTCTTCATCTTGTCACCCATTTGTTCTAAACGTTCACGACGATTCATGAATCTACCTACAAATCTGTAAATAAAACAAAATTAAGTGCTAAATCAGGACTTTTTTAAAATTTGATCCAGAAAACGAAAAATTGAGAGAAGCCATGTCAAAATAAGGATAGTTTACCAGTCATCAAATTTAGCACTGGCCCGGTGGCCCATGGCCAGTGAAAATTAGTTCGAGCCAGTGAAAATTAAGAAAAATTAGTTAAATATATAGTAGAATAAATTCAAAACTGGAATTCGGGCCAGTAAATTCAAAATCTTAAATTCAATGACTGGTTTACTATATGCCATATATATTTTTAATCTAGAAAAAAAAACTAGTAAAAGTAATTTGCGATTTTTTTCATACACATCCCACCAAGTATTACCCATGATCATACAACATTTAATAAGACAGGACCAGGATAGCATTTACAAGTCTATACTTAGTTTCCAAGTTTAATGATTAAATATCTTCAGAATCAACTTACACTTTCTTTCCGTTTAACAACATGCCATTGACCTTTTCGATGGCATTTCGAGCAGCTTCTTCGGTCTCAAAATGGACAAATCCATAGCCACGAGAACCATGTTCATCTGATACAATCTGAAAACACACAACAAGTTAATAGTTTTTAATTTTTTCTCTAATTTCTCTCAAGATTGCACATCAATAAAGTGTTTGGTTTAAAACAACAATAACTCCAATTTAGTCTTCCAGTGATTAATCTAGATGTGCGTCTTGCGTAAAATACGCATAAAAATCGAAAAAGACGCACAGTTTCAAAATATGTGCGTTCAATCTGACACATGCTAATCAGGAAGTTTATAATCCAAAATATCACGATTAGTGATTTCTATGTACAGATTGATTAATTTCATTAGTTGAATAATTTTTCAATTTCTTCAGTTGAATAATTTAATTTCCGATGATATCAGGTGCAAGACTAATCCCCCATTTGCTTAAAGCAATTGTTGCTTGTGATCGGTAACCGCCCATTATCGGCATTAGCCAATCAGAGCGTCCATTTTGCATAAGAGCGATTCGCCTACAATGGTGAAATATGCAGACATTGGCGCTAAAAAATGAGAAGGGCACAGGAAAATCGTCAGCAAATGGCCAAAGGCGCATCAGACTTATATTGTATGTTATTTAGTCATCCAGACAAAACTGGTACCAACAGCAACAGGTTACCCATTCCCCTGTAATTACGCATATTCTTGAGTTTATCCATTTCCCTATAGCATTTTTCCAAGTTATCTAATTACCTAATCCCTTTCCCACCTACTACTGCATTTCTACTACCGTAAATTTAATCCAATAAAGCAAACAAAAAATCATTTATCTACTTAATATTTTAAACTGAAAAAAGTGTTGCTATTTTAAGAAATGCTGTAAGTTACAGTATAATCTGACAGGTGTGTAATGATTTCCCCTAAGGTCACTCAAGTTCACGCGGAGTGTAAAAAAAAAAAAGATGTCTATTACGTCATCAGAATATTTGACAGGGTGATTAACCAATCAGGGTAACATTGTGCATGACTTTTTTTCATGATCAAAAGGTCTGTCTGTGTTAGTCCTATAATATGACGTCGCTTTGAGATATTTTTGCTTCTGGGCAAAGCAACGTCATATCGAAATTGCTCAAAAACCCATAGCATGTTCAGCCAGAAAATCGGGCGGAACGAAAAACAATGAAGACAGCGTGTATTTACATAAGTTTTGACCTATTTATGAACAAAACTAAAAATAAATACCTTTTGTCAAAATAATTAAACTGTCACTTACGAAAAATCATGATTAAATCCTCTCATGTATTTCAATTCTTTTTACAGCCGATAAACAAATGGCGGCCATAAAGTGCGCGAAATCTGATTGGCTAATTCAAATGCAAGCGTTTAACTGAGTCAGAACAATCTAACGGAATATTTTTTTAACGAAATAATAGCCCATGCACCGTCAGTGTGTTCGAATATATTTTTCCGTTAAAAAAATTTGAATCAATCCGTAAAGCACCTTGCTTAACCAGTATGGCTGATAGACAAAAATAGATTGATATTATATTTTATTTTAAATTGATAAGTACATTGTTTGAGAGTTTTTGCGTATGATTGAGCATGAAATTGAAAGAAAAGAAGATAAGCTTTTGAATAAAGCTTGAAAGGCAAGACAATATACATTTTTTGAATTTTTTATGATGCTATGCGTTTTTGAGCAATAACTATTAGACGTCAGGCTTGACCGACATAAACTATAACAAGCCTGTAACGTCTAATATATTGGACTATGTCTGTGTACAGGCTTCGCGAAACTGCTGAAACATTTGCCTGACATTCGGTCAGACAAACTTTCAATTCTTGTCTGACCGAAAGAACTTTTGTCTGACCAAATTTTTTTTCCAAATATATGTATATGGTAATACCTTTGTGTTTTTTTAAAGACATAGGAACTTTTAAAGATTTGCAACACAATTTTATTCTCTTAAATAAAACATCAGTTTATCCAGATTGATGGACTCTGTCTGGAAATTTAAACATTCATGATCAAAATCATCATCATCATATGATCTTTATAAAATTTATGACACAATGTACATTTCATCTTATTTTCTTCCTCGTTAAAAACCAACCACGAGCGGCCATTTTTCCATTTACCCACAAATTTTCTCGGCAGGCCTGTATAGGCGCCTGACTCGTATTTCTTTTGTTTCGCTTTTTTCCTTCATTAGATAATTTACATTTTTTGCCTGGCGTAGCGCCAACGTAATAATTTAATAATGCAGTAACACCGACATTTTCTTCCGAGTACAAGATCATCGAAAGTTGTATGTATCTAGAATTTGATTGGACACTAAAAATGAAACGGCGAATCAAAACTCGTTTTACAATTTTTTATTCAAGGGAGAAAACTCGGTCTTGATCCGTCTTGGATATATCCCGGTATTCGTACCGGACATAAGGTCCGGAACTCGGAAAAAAATATCGGACCGGCCTGATTTTTGTCGGACATGTCCGACGGTCCGGCAACTTTCGCGAAGCCTGTGTGTATGCTTTCTACAGGAGCAATAAAAGTCGTCAGTATGTACTGTGAGAGGGACATTTTGTGCAAATTACGAACAATTAAAATGGATAATGCACAGTATTAGACAGAAGTAGTAAGAAAATATAAATTATGAAAATTAGATTTTTGAGCAGCCAATAAAAATTGTTTTGCCAGCAATTAATATTAGTACCAAAAATAACGTTTTTATGCACTTTAATTACTACATCGCTTGTTATAAAAACATGCAAATCATGTCAAGGATCTGCTATTAAAAAGACGCATTTTTTTGCTACATGACTCATTGATTTTGCTACAGGACTCATTGTTTTCAAACATGTGCGTCATCCGACGCATTGTAAGGAATTTCTAGATTAATCACTGGTCTTCTGAAGTACATTTATGACAGGTTTCTTCGACTCTCTGTTTTAGCAGATTTTTTAGCAGATAAAAGGTACATCAATGATTATATTTACATTTGATTTTTCGAATGAAGTTCATTTACGAAAGTTAAATACAAAACAGACACTTACTTTACAAGATAAAATGTTTCCAAATGCCGAGAAGGTATCGTACAAGGCTTTGTTGTCAATGCTCTTATCCAAATTCTTGATGAAAACGTTCCCAACACCAGATTTACGGAGAGAGGGGTCACGTTGAGACCACATAATTCTGATTGGTCGACCTTTGATGGTGTCAAAGTTCATTGTGTCTAAAGCTCTTTCAGCTGAAAATAATTAATTAAAGCATGTCTCATTATGAAATATGTATCAACAATAATCAGACAGGATCAGTGTAAATTATGTGGCTATAGATAGCTATTGAAATTTGGTGCAACATGATTTATTATGACCCAATTAATTATTACTCTGCACAAGACATAATTCCAAATTTTATTCTGATATCGGACCAGAATGCACACTGATTAACAGTGAAATTAGCTCCAAGCATGTCTTTGGGACCCCCAAGTTATAACAGTTTATGTAGAGTTTACTAACATGGTTTCAGTCATTCCGAAAGACAATCCAGTAACACCAGGGTTTTCATTTTAATCTGAGGCAACAGATGCCTCAAAGAAAGCAACCAAATCGATTTGGCAAAGGGTGATATTTATATATATTATCTGAAAAAACAACTGATTTCAACAGCATTTTAACCAATGATATGGATCACCAATCTGTTAATAATGAAAACCCTGTAACACTGTACTGGGGTGCAGGAAATGAAATTCTCAGGATTCTAGCCTCGTATCACACACTTATTAACAGGTATTAAAAAAAATATTTTCAGGGCCACTCATCCTGTAAGTCAAGCAACAGCTAAATTCTTCTTCATCCTGCACTACATGATTGATTTAAAAAATAAACTGTAAAGTTGTAGTTCTGGCTTCCAAAACTTTATAAGCCGCTTTTTAACATTTTTGTTTTTCATCAGATGCGGCATTAAAGTTTTGGATTAGACCCGTTACGAAACCTAACCAGAATAACATAAGTTGATTTATTCTTGTTTTTCACTTGCAATACACTTGACCCGATCAATTCTTGTGCATTTTACGGTAAAACAATTATTTAAATATCGTTCTATACCAATTCAAGTAATAAAATATTAAAACCGTCATTAAAATTGCTTATTTAACTGTAAAAAATCAATTTTTCGCCAACCCCAATTGGGCCAAAAGGCCCGCAAATATGGTTCTTTCGCTAAAAATTTAATGGTTTTTTTAATTAAAACAAATTTTTTTTAATTGATTTCGATATTTTTTTTCGAAAAATTTTTTTATTTTATTTTCAAAAATTTTTTTTTGTTTTTTTTTTATTAAAAATCATCGTAAAAAATTTTCACTTTTTAAAAAAAGTAAATTTTAAAAAATATTTAAAGGACATGGGTTCAGGAAATTGTACCTTAAAACTTTTGGCAGTGGGGAAAAATGCCGATTTTCCCTGTTCCGGGGAACCTTAGGAAAAATTTTGTTTAAAAAAATTTTTATTTTTTCCTTTGGTTTAAACAGTTTTTTTTCGTTTTTAAAGGGTTTTTCATTTTAATTCGGAGTTCAAAAAATAAATACAAAGCGGCGTTTAAGTTTTTTTGGTATTTTCCCCGGGGTTATTTTAAAATTCATTTTTCAAAATAATAAACTGGGTGCCTTTAATGGAAATTTAAATGAAATATTTTTTTTTAATTTTAAAAAAAGTTTTGGCTTTTAAAGGTAAATTTTTTTTTTGGGGAAAATTTGAAATCAATATTTTGTTAAACAAGATTTAAATTATCCCTGGTTTATTCCCGTAAAAAATTTTTTTTCCCCCCCCAGGGGAAAAATTAGTCCCCTTCCCTTGGTGATTTCTAAGCACAGGTTTCCCTTTAACCCGTGGAAATTTCCCTAGTAATAAACCCTTTTTTTGTTATTTGAAAAATTTTTGTAAAAATTGGGAAACGGGAAATTTCCTGGTTTTGGGGGGTTATTAAAATTAGGGAAAAAAATTGAACCCATATATCCATTAGTCTTTTGTTACTGGGAATTGAGCAATTTATCCAGAACCTATCGGGAATAGCGCTCCCATCCCCCAAAATTTTTCATTTCCCCCTATTCTTATGCGGGGTTAAAAATAAAGGGTATATTTATTATTCAAAATTTTAAGAAATACAGTTACAATAAGTAATATGTTCATCCCTCAGCTCTGTTAAAAGTTGAAAAACGCATACCTAACGATCGTCGTGGATATGTCCGACAGCCCGAATTGAAAACACTGACCTGTAGGAAAATTTTTTTAAAACAACATACTTCGTAACTCGGGATGAAGGTCCCCAACTAAAGGGCCTTTGGGAAACTCTGTGTCCCCCCGGGTGATTGAAATTTTGGTTTTTTATTGGGCTTTTTTACAAAAAATTTTTTGGTTCAATAGGGCGTTTACGTTCCTCTTGCGATTTCCTTGCTCTTGCTCGACTAAAATTTACCGTTACATACTTTTTTGGTTTTTTAACCAATTTTACAGTTTTTTTTTGTTTTTTTAAAATGTTTTTAAAATTTTTATATATTTTTTTAGCAATTTTGTTTTGTGGTTTGGGTAAAAACAACGAAAACAGTGAAATTTTTCGCGGCGCAGGTCGAGAAGAGGGAAAAAAGGAAAAAAAATTTGGGTTTATATGTAGGGGTTTAAGAAATTTCCGCCACAAAAAATGTTTGTCGTGTTTCTAAAACCAGCAGACTTTGTGCATAGTTTTCCGAAAATAAATATCCATTTTTTTTTGATAAAAAACCTTCAATAATTTTATAAAAAATTTTATTTTTTCTTTTTTAAAATTAAATTCATACGCCCAAATTTAAAATTTTTCGTTATAATTACGCGATTACCCCCTTTAGCGAAAATTTTCCACCCTGCCCAAACAGGTCTTTTAAATAACAGGAACGCCGGTTAAGTCAATACAAAAAAAAATCGAAATTTATAAATAAATGTTTGTGTTTTTGATTTTTCACAGTTTCTTTTGGCACTTGGTACTGTTGTGCGAGCAACAACAACACATTGAGTTTGCAATCTTAACTATAGATCTATACTGTGCTCCTCTTAGTTCAGGGTACTTATTAAAACGTTTTGAAACCAGAAAGAAAACAACAAATGAAACTTATGATACAAAAAATTTCAGAAGCTATAACTATAGTATTTCTCGCTGTATGACAGAAGGAACAACAATATATTCAGTCAAAGTTTAATTTATATTGTATGTGATTATACATGTATGTCCTATCCACTTGAATAAATCGAGTACGAATGGACACAAACGTGACCATGTGTCGGCATTTTGAAAACAGTATGTCATCATTTAAATCGCGAACGGTAATCGTGTTTACCATTCGGTTTTTGTGTTTCATTAAAATTCTCCATGTTATCTTGCTTGATTTTAAATATTAAATTATCTTACTTTGTAACAAAAATTTACTTTTTAACAAACAAAACACATTTTAAAATGAGCTCGTTTCAGACTAACAAAATTTTAAGGACAATTATGGGATTGCTTTTTGCAGAAATTTTGAAAAAATGGTTGTTCTGTTTAACGTAAAAAATCTAGAGATTTAAAATATTTTGCAGCAAAAACTTTGTTGTATAGGGATGAGCTGATAAAAATATGCCAATTCTGACCAATTTTAAACCTTGTCACATTTAAAATATCCATTACCGTGAAATAAGTGATGAGCGTGATTTAGTGATGTTTGAGTGTTACATTTTCGTTGACATTCTTTTTTGTGTTTTAAAAAGAAATTCATTATAATTTATGTGTGATTGGATAGTTAAAAATATCAGTTCGAGCAGAATGTTGTATATGTTTATATTCCACGTTTGATCGCGTGAAAAAAGGGGAAACTTTTGCTATCCATGTAACCCAGACTGTAGGGATCGAATATTTGTTATATTCCTACCATCATGCCTGATGTGTTTAATCTATGTAATGATTTCAAATTTCATTGAGAGAATTTTATTTAAGTGCAAAAACACGAATCTTTGTTATCGTAGCCTTATTTCTCTTCTATGTATATTGCATTTCTCGTTTACGAGTAAATGCGCACAGCTTGGCGGCATGTACGAGAAATAATCAAAAAAAAGTAGAAGTGTACAAAAGAATAAAAGAAATTCAATGTATTTATAAGAATATTTCACAGTTTGATAGTGTAAATAACAAATGCATAATCTCTGAATGACACTAATCCGTCTAATTCGAAATTACCAGATTAGTGGATTACAATGAAATTTCACGGTGTGCAATATACGTGATTAAATCGTGCATTTTCAACTTTAAAATATTGCAGCATTGCGTTATCAACAATAACAAACCTATTACTTTGGACATTCAATCAGGCACATATATATGTACGAATGTAAACGTATTGGCAACAGATCCACGTTACTCGAATTCTGTTTCTCTCGAAGTAAAATGCCCAGTCCCTGGAAATTCGTGTTACCGATTGTCAACTGTATGGGTCAACAAAAGAACACACGTCAATGTTTGTGGTCAAAACAATTGTAATTCAAATGAAAGGTCATAGAGGGGATCTATCAAATGAATGTACAAATAAAAAAAACACATTTTTGAAAACATGCTTGTTGCGTTAAAGTGCATCAAGCTTTTTATCGACTGCCTGTTGTTTACAAATTATTGTAAAAAGAACACTTCTAAAATAAACTGATATGAAATAGCAGCATACTATTTTGTTTCGTAACATTTTATTGTGTTTAAATATGCATATGTATTAATAATAGAGACATTCTTTGATACAGTTCCTTTGAGTATCGACCATGGTATCATGGAAACAAAACTATTTTACTGTAAAAATTTTAGAAAAAATAGTTTAACAAATGTTAAATTTACTTTAAAACTTGTATGAAAAACCCTTTAAAAATTTTTACGTGCCTTGCACAGGGCCCCCGTTGAAAAGAATTCTATGTACGAAAGGTGGGGAAAAAAAACCCCTTATGATAAATGCAGGGGGAGGATTGAAAAATGTGTTTTGTTTTTTTGCGTGGGGCGGGGAGGGAACTGGACTGAGCTGTTTATTTTGTAAAATTATATGGGGGTGTCCGTTAAAACCAAAATAGTCCCCGGCGCAACTACATTTTTTTTTGCAATTACATAATTAAGTTTTTTTCCCAATAAGGAATTTTTAAAATTGTTTGAAATAAATTTTTTTTAAATACGCGTTTAAGTTTATATATATTATGCGCGTAATTACATTTTATTTAGGCCTACGTTTTATGTTACTTATT